TTGGCCTATCAGAATTACAAAAAGAATGCGATGAAAAGCTGGTAGGCTCTGCTACTACATCTGCTGTGTCACAAGTTTCAGAAAGCACGTACCAAATTTCCCATGCCCAAGCGTCTACTAAGCGAGGCCATCGCCCTCCGATGGCCACGACATGGACAGACAGAAGCCAATACCCACGGAACGACCCGGACAAGAGGTGGGCAAGCGATGTCACCAACAAAACCAACAGAAAAACCTGAAAGTCCCGGCTCCAGGAGCATCGGTAGTTTGAGAACACACCACGTCTCAAACTGCCGCCCTTCCTCCCGACACGCGCTGCGCACGCTTCTCACGCTGCCGCAGCAGAGCGCGCTGCTCTCACCTCGATAACGTTAGAGACAAGGTACGGCAGGGTTTTGTTCACTTTGATCTTCTCACTGTTCTCTTTGATCTTGTCTTTCATGGCCTGAAGCTCGTGGGTCACTCTCAGTACTTCACTCTTCATGATCTGGAATCAGTACGCAGAAGCGAGATACAGGAATAATATCAAAAGACTCAGGCAAGATGAAATTCATACATTATTCCAAAAGTAGAACAGTTATAAAAACATAAATCTGAGGAAACAGCGGATATAGAGGGAAATGTAATATAAAAAGAAGAAAAGCCAGCAAATTAGCCAAAATTGGTCAGGAATCAAGGCTATGCAGTCCATTCTGGTCTCCAACTAATCAATATCCCTAAATAATTTCTGCCCAGTGTCACTGGATAACCTCAGCCTAATCAACGCATCAGCTGACAGGGCCGCAACATGACCTGGATAAGGATATGACACAGATAAGGCAACTGTGTTTTAGGTTTTATTTTTTAAGATACACAGATAGACAGGTAACTGGATATACACACGCACGTGCGTATCTGTATGCATCCATATACACACACCTATTTTACAGGTATGTTTTGCTGGGTTTAAAGAATTGAGGCTCGTGTCCACTGAGAGCAGTGGGACTACCAGCACCTTTGCAAGCAGATGTACCACCACTGCTTCCAGCGGGACAAGAGAGAGATGCTCTCTTTATAAAGCTGTTCTGTTCTATAAGACCACACAAATTGAGAAACAAACATATCAACTGCCCCTGTAGGAGAAAAATACTTTTTGTTCTCCTTCAAACATTCAACACTAGAGTAATATCCAGTACTTGTTCCCCACAAAGACAACCAGGTCCTTTGGAAAAAAGGGACTCGGAGGACAGCTCAGGTTGAGAGGGACCTCAGGGGGCCTCTAGTTCAACCTCCTGCCCCGAGCCAGGCCAGCCACGGGCTCTCACTGGGTTGCTCTGGGCTTTGCCCAACTGAATCTTGAAAACTTCCAAGGACAGAGACTATATAATTTCTCTGGAACAGCCTGTTCCACTGTCTGACTGCCCTCACAGCAACAAGGTCATCTTCATACCCCTGTGAAGTCTCTAATTTTTTCAATTTATGACCAGTAATTTATGGTTTGAATTAACCTTGGTCCACTCTTTGATAAGATATAAAAACTTTCTATAGGAAAAAAAAAGGAAACAAACCAAACATATACTAGTAGCATGACAGAAAGCTCAAATTCCTACATCTTTGTATAATTTTAACATTTTCGAAGGCTTTTGCTGTAACTGTAATCAATGGCTCAATGTCTGGATGGAGATCAGTGACAAGTGGTGTCCCTCGGGGGTCCGTACTGGGACCAGTGCCTGTTTAATATCTTCATCAGTGACAGAGACCAAGTGCACTCTCAGCAAATTTGCAGATGACACCCACCTGAGCGGTGTGCTTGACACCCCTGAGGGACAGGATGCCTTCCACAGGGACCCAGACAAGCTCAAAAAGTGGGCCCAGGCAAACCTCATGAACTTCAACAAGGCCAAGGGCAAGGTCCTGCCTGTGGGTCGGGGCAGATCCCAAGCACAGATCCAGGCTGGGCGAGGAGTGGATTCAGAGCAGCCCTGCGGGGAAGGACTTGGGGTGTTGGTGGATGGAAAACTGCCTGTGAGCCAGCACCGTGCTGCTCACAGCCCAGAAATCCACCCGTGCCCTGGGCTGCAGCCAGAGCAGGGGGGGCAGCAGGGCCAGGGAGGGGATTCTCCCCCCTCTGCTCCACTCTGGGGAGACCCCCCTGCAGTGCTGGGGCCAGCTCGGGGGCCCCCAACAGCAGAAGGACACGGAGCTGCTCGAGCGGGGCCAGAGGAGGCCACGGAGATGCTGGGGGGGCTGGAGCAGCTCCCCTGGGAGGCCGGGCTGAGAGAGTTGGGGGCGTTCAGCCTGGAGAAGAGAAGGCTCCGGGGAGCCCTTCGAGCGGCCTCCCAGGGCTTAAAGGAGGGGCAGGAGAGGTGGGGAGGGACTCTGGATAGGGGATTAGGGGATAGGATGAGGGGTAACAGGTTCTAAACTGAAAGAGGGGGAGATTTAGATTAGATCTAGGGCAGAAATTCTTCCCTGTGTGGGGGGTGAGGCGCTGGCCCAGGGTGCCCAGAGCAGCTGTGGCTGCCCCCTCCCTGGAAGGGTTCAAGGCCAGGTTGGACGGGGCTGGGAGCACCCTGGGCTGGGGGAAGGGGGCCCTGCCCGGGGCAGGGGGGGTGGGACTGGATGGTCTTTAAAGTCCTTTCCAACCCAAACCAGTCTATGATTCTACTGACTGTGAGGGAAAACACCTGTAAGAAAAGAAGTTCTGTACTCGCCATCCACCAGTAAGTACATTTAGTACTTACTAGTTAGTTACTTAGACTAACCCACCAGTACAGGTGTTTCTCAGTGCTGCCTGGCTGACACCCACATACTTTTTCCTCCCTTTCCTGGTTAGTCACACAGTTTGAAAACACAGTTTGTGATCCCCACTGAAGCGACTGTCACACCAAATGGTCTCAGGAGAACTGGTTACACCTGAATTTGCTTATGTGACTCTCTTTAATGGGGAAATCTACTCTTCTCTAAGAAACTATCTTTTTAAAATTCATGATGCCTAAGCATTACTGTGCTGTAACATACCCTTCTTCACAGGACAGAACTGTTACAGGAGCCAATACAGAATCTGTTACATAAAAACAGTCTGGGAAACATTCAAGGAAAACTGCATGAAGGGAGGGTGCATTTCTCAGTTATGGTGCTCTTGCTATAAAATAGAGGAGGCCGCTTCTACTCCGGACTGTATTCTACAATTTAAAAATAAGACACACGTTTATCTTTGCTGTCTTTAAAGAATAAGAAAATATGTTAGTAAGTCAGAATTACTTGTGGAGCCTGAAGCAGCAGGCATGAAGTTGCTCTGTAGAATTTATGAAATAATTTATCTCAATATTTCTAACATCAGGCTGTTGAGACAAACTTACACATGCTCTTTTATGTGAAATGGGTCTACCTTGGGACAGGACTACCCAGGTCTGTCCTATTTAACATGTTCACGAACAACCTAGACAAGAGGATGGCATGCCCTCTCATCATGTTTGCAGATGACACCAGATTGGGGGGGCACAGTCTCTGTGGTCAAGGGCAGGGCTGCTGCTCAGAAGGACCTTGGAAGACCTGAGGAACAGGCATACAGAAACCTTACAAAATTCAAGGACAAATGCAAACCCTGCACTTGGGAAGGAGAGGACCTTGCAATGACACAGGCTGGCGACTGGCTCACTGGGGACCAGCTCTGTGGGAAGGGACCTGGGGGGGGGGGGGTTTCCATGGACAATAAACCGAACACGAGCCAAAAACATGCCCTGAGAGTAAGGGTGGCAAACAGCATCCCAGGCTGTACCAACAGGAGTGTAGCCGGTGGATGGAGAGAAGTGACCAGCCCCTTCTACTCAACACTTATTAGATCCTATCTAGAGCATTCTGTCCAGTTTTGGGTCCCCCCATACATCAAAGACATTGCTACAATGGGCTGAGTTGAGCACGGGGCCACCCAGGGGGCTGGAGCAGAGGCCCTGGGAGAAGCAGCTGAGGGAAGTGGGCTTGTTCGGCTGGGGAAGAGAACTACTGGGGAAGGTGCCAAGAAAGCAGAACCAGGCACTTGGCAGCGGTGCACAGGGGGCTCATGAGACAACAGGCAAAGACTGAAACGAGAGGTTCAGGCTATGTAAAGCAAGCTTTTATCCTGGGGAGGCCGGCCAAGCAGTGGCACAGAGCTGCCGGCGAAGCGGTGCCATCTCCGCCTTCGAGATCCAACCGGACAAAGCCCTCAGCAGCCCGGGTTACGCCTGACGCTGCTTAGGCTGGGCTAGAAATCGCTCCGCGTCCCTCCCAACCCGATTTACCCAATGATCCTACCCGGCCCAGGCCACGGAACAGGATTCCCCCTGCCCCGATCCCTGGGAGGGCCTGTGGGCCTTCAGCTCCCCCCCCCCCCCGCCCCGGCCCGAACGCCCGCAGCGCTCCCGGGGGCCGGCCCCTGGCCCTTACCTTGATCTCGCTGTCGAGGAGACGCGTGCGCTGCACGATCTCCTCCGTGGACATCTTCAGCACCTCCTCGCCGACACCATCCTGCGGGGGCACAACGGCAGCCGTCACCCGCGGCCCCGGCCCCGCCGCCCGCCGGCCCCGGCCCCGCCGCCCCTCACCTCAGACTCGTCCCACACCGACGCCATCTTTCCCCCAGCCAGCCGGAGAGCGAGCGCACGGCGCGGCGGATGCCGGGCGGCAGGTTCCGCCGCTCCTCGCCCCGGCAGCGGGAGGGGAGGCAGCGGGACAGGCGGCTCGGGGACCCCGCGCTCCCTCGGCTCCCTCGGCGCCCCGCCGCGGCCCCGCCGCCCGGACAGCGGCCCGTCGGCTCCGCCGAATCTGCCGGCGGCCTCAGCGAGGGCTGGGGGGGGGGAACGGCCGCGCAGGTCACGTGCGGCCGCCCAAATCTGCTGAGTGATGGCCGCGCCGCCATCTTAGTCCGGGGCAGGGGCGGAACCCGGCGGGGGCGGGACCGAGCGCTGCTTTTCCCGCCCCCCTCAACGCGGAGCCCGGTCGCTCTGCCGGCCAAACCCTTTATTACAGTCGATCCCCGTACAGAGGAGGGAGGAGGGAGGGAGGGAGGGAGAGAGAGAGAGGGGCCGCGGATGTGTGTCCCTCTCTCCTCGCCAGGCCCAGGCTGAGGGGCCCCGGGAGCGGCGGGTCAGACGTAGCCGGGCTTCACCGACAACCGGCGGCAGTTGGGGCAGCCCCGGGTCCCGTTGGTCTGGAGGCACCTGCAAAGGGAGGAGGTGATTTTTTTTGGGGGGGGTAGGGGCTCTGCCGGCCCCAGCGCCCCTCTCCCTGCCAGGCTCTATCTGAACAGCGTAAGACAGGACAAAACTCCCTCCTCTCACTGCGCAAAGGTTCGATCTCTTTTCCACGCGCTCTGTGGAGGCACTTCAGCACATTCCCCTATAAAAATTAGTTCCCGTACTGCTGGAGACAAATCCGCAGAACTGTCCTGGAGTTTGATCCTAATTTTGGTGTCATGCTGAGGCTGTGTTTTTAAATTCTTAATTATCAGAACCAAGTGTTTCCTTACACTCCTGTTTCTGATAGAAATAAAATAACAGTACAGCTAACTTCTTTCAGGGCGGTTGCACAATAACAGACTGAACGCCTTCACCTCAGTGTACCTCTAGACAAGAGAGAAAGTGGGGGGATTCAGGGGGAAAAACCTAAATGGCCCCTGGGGGCAAAGAACTAATTCCCCAAGAGGAGTTAAATAAGAACCTGTGAACTGGGCTAAGCAGCTACGAGCTGAGGACATCGGTGAACAATCATTTAGAGGACAGAAGTGGGAGTGGGATGGGTATTAACGGCTAAATCTCACCCGTCAAGGCCATGAGATTCATGACACCTCAATGGGATCCTGCAGGGCACAGGTAAGCAGGTCAAAGACCTGGGGAACAGCATGCATAGGACTGTCCTACTCTGGACAGGAACAGCCCTTTCCTACAACTAATGCCATGACAAGGCTCTCTAGTACTTTCAGCTCATTACTTTAAGTGGAAGAAGTGGGAGCAAGGCAGCGCCTGGAGCTGGTTGTTCTTCTCCCCAATGGACTCTCCACACATGCCACAGTACAGCTCCATCTCCTCCACGCACTCATGGAACTTCACTACATGGTCACGCAATTCTCGCTGCTGCCCCTTTGTGCGATAGATCCTTTCACACAGGCAGTGGAGCTTCAGCAGGCCAAGCTGCACGTGAAGGGCAGAAAGATAAGAAAAGTGAACAACAAGGTGAAGATGGACCAGTAACAGAAGGAATGGAAACCACTACAGCCCCAGCCACCAGCTAGAGAAACATCAGCACAGAAAAGCTGTCCGGATCTGTCATAAGGACATTTGGTCTCTCAGCACTTCCTGCCATTAATCCTCCTTCTCCATAACACAAAAGGGGACACCAGTTTTGAGCCACTCTGCAGCTCTTCCATCAAGATGGTTTCCCTGAGCTATCCATGACATACACTGTATTTCACTTCCCTTTGCCTCCAGCCAGCACACAGTTCAGCTGCTGCTCAGGACAGTAATGTTTTTCAAGAAGAGACTGCATATCCTCTATCTCTCTGCTTGTTTCATACCCCATTTTTACTGCTTCCCATTCCCCTTTGTTTATCCCACTGTGCCTTTTCAAACTTGCACACTAGTGATCACCTGTGTGACTGCCCACAACTAAACACACAACAAAGCAAGTCCCAAGCATTGACCAGTTAGTATGGACACATTAATAAGCAGTAACAAGTCTGGATACTTCAATGTTTGGCTTCTTAAGTTGCCTGACAGAAGACTACAGACAGTGCTGAAGAGACGCTGGAGGATCCTACCTTGTTCCCTAGTCCCTCTGCCAGCTCCTGTGCCTTTTCAATGCTTTCCAGAGCCTGTGAATGGAGAGCATGCACCATCAGTTCTCAGTCTGAGATATCAAAACCAGACTTGCATGAATGACCTATGGGAATTATTAAAAGGAAGAGGTAAAGAGGTACAGAGGAGAGTTTGGATAAACAAGCATCACTGCAACTTTGGAGAATCAAGATAGCTGTCTGGCAGACTTCCCTCCCCTCCCGAAAGTTCATCCATAAGAGCAGCGTGGTTATCCAAGAGCTGCGTTTCTGCTCCAGCCACCCAGTGCAAAGTAGGGGTATGGTGGTTGGCAGAGGCTGGTGTTTCCAAGCAGAGAGAACACAGACTTTAATTTAAACTCGGTCACACATGCTCACTGGGGTTGGGACGAAGCACTGCCAAAGCAAGCCTTTTCCCCATCCTACTGTACAGGCTCAATAATCGGGCAACTCCAAGTTCATTTGTACAGGAGGGGAGGAAAGGGATCAGCACCACCAACACACCCTGCTCTTCCATTTTTTCCCTGCTGTTCATATATCCACTTTGTCCTACTTACACATGGTGTGATGTAGGAGTGTACTGCTATCTATCTTTTTCAAGCTGAAGGAAGTATTTAGCATAGCAGCTGTTATACCAAATGAGTCCCTACTTTCCCCTAGATGCCACAGTGTTCCTCACTGTTCTGATCATCAATCTCTCTTTTCCAGAACTACTGAGATCTGCTTTGGATTTGGCCACGGGGAAGAAGTCTCCCCTGTGATGCAGTAGTTTGCAGGAGAAACATGATAAAATTTCTACCCTATAATTTGCCATTGCTGCTATTCTAGAAGAAAACCAGATGAGATGAAAGAATACACTTTGAATGCAGATGAGATGGCATCAGGCTTGTGGTGGCAGCAACAGCCTAGGATAAAGAACTTGTAGAAGAAGAAAGCAGGAACTGAAGGCTAGGAGGTAGAACATGAACCTGAGAGCTGTGTCTAGGAAGAGTGACTGTGTGAAGGAAAGCCCTGAAATTAACAACCAGGACTAAGAATCAAAGGGAAGCATGTGGGGTGGTGGGAGAAGAGATGCTGAGAAATCCAGGGGACAGTTTGTCTTGGACAGGAATATGAGACTGCACAAGAGTGTGGGCAAGCAGGCTGCGACAGCAGCCTGGGAAGATCTGCAATAGTACTGACTATATGCAGATAAAAGGAAATGGACTAACTGGCTGAGGAGACTGGAAAGGTGGAGAAAGCTAGGACAGTAGGGAATCTGCAAGTGGAAAGTTAGCCTTATTTGGTAACTGATATTGGGATAAGTAGCATGAGAAATGGAGACTGGGACTGGCAAGTTGAGGAACAGGCTTGAGTGAGTATTCAGGGCCGTGACATTTGAGGCGGCCACATTTGGCTCAATGGGCATAAGGTCCCTGACCCGCCAGGGCAGACTTCCCTCTAACGCCTGGAACAGAATATAAGATTTATCTATTCATTCTCCTCTTTTGTGGGTTTTGGTAAGATGAGGACTCTCTGCAAAGCCCTCACCAGGCTCTCAGGTGAGAGCTGCTTGTGGTATCAGAGGGTGGCAATGGCTGGAGGTGGGATCAGTGGACGTAGGGGTTTGATGAGTGCTCTAAATACTCTCATGTAGAGAGGCCTACCTGCTGTGTCCTATCCCATTCTTCTGAATATGAGATATGGAGGCTGGGAAGGGATTACACTGAGCAAAAGTTTTTAAGTACACAGTTTCTTCTTCAATTTGCAAACACAGCGTTTACTTACTGAGGTTGCCAGGTGTATCTCACCCAGTGGATTCCCGGCTGTAGGCAACTCAGATGCTGATAGCACCTTGGACTTGTCTTTTCTGATAGACACATACTTGATTCCCTAAGATCTGGGAGGCTTTGTTTGAGGTAAAATTCTTTGTGTTTCATATGAGCGATAAGAGTGAATCCTTCATCAAATCTACACCTAAACCAGCCTCCTGATGTGGCACTGTGCAGGCGTTCCAGGTTGTTCAGCACTAGTTCAAGGATAACCTCCCAGCAGCTCACTCGGCAAGCCCAGTAATGTTCCTGCAGTGCAAACTGCTGCATCTAGTGCAATCTGGATTTTAACACATGTACACTGCCTAAGCACTTTCAAAACAAGTTAACGTCGCCCCCTTGTACTACAGTGACCATTTTCCACTCTCATTTCTCTGTTTCACATCACGGTTTACATACCTGCAAAGCTTCTCCAGGAATTTGATGCTACGTTTGTCTGCTAAGCACGCGGTGGAGCTGTAGAGCTGTCTAAACATCACCACTGTCACAACAATGAGCTTAGTCATATAGCTACAAAGTAGGCAGTGGAATCTATTCCAGAGCACAAGCATAAGCTGGTTGCCTGCAACGGCAGGAGTAGGCTTCCTTCCCTCAGTGCTGGTTTCTCAGTGTAGTGCTTAAAGTCATCAGGACTGACTAATGAGACAATTCTGTAAGCCAGCAGTCTGACTCAGAATGGATAGTCATACCGTTAGTAACAAATTCCTGGCTGAGAGGGACCATTTGGAGAAATGTGACCGTACAAGCAATAGACCCCCTGGTAGAACCAAGGGGTACCAGTCTCTACTGCACTTTGATGGGTGCAAGGGTCAGAAAAAAGACTGTATGCTCTAATCTCATTGTCCTGGGTTGAGTGAGTGGTGGAGTTTTTTGGTGGCAGGGGAGGGGGCTATCGGGGCGGCCCTCTGTGAGAAGCTTCTCGAAGCTCCCCCAGCTCCACGTCAGCTCCGCTTCTGTTTGGGAAATTGAGCCCATCAGCTGCACCTCTGCGATAACGTATTTAAGAAGGGACTGTGGTGACGGGCAGTGGGACTGGTGAGGAGGAGTTGCTGCAGCTGCATGAACACCAAGGTCAGTGGAGGAACGGAGGAAGAAAGGAGGGGGGAGGTGTGCCGGAGCAGAGACCCCCCTGTATCCTGTGGTGAGACTGGCAGGGCGGCCCCCCCTGCCACCTATGAAGATCTACTGGTGGAGCAGACACTGATTTATGGCCTGTGGCTCCTGCTCAGATGATCAAGGTTCTGTGCCCGAAGAAGGCCGGGGTCTCATGGGAAAAGGCAGCCCCACGCCGGAGCAGCTCGGGAAGGGCTGCAGCCGTGGGAGAGAATCCAGCCGGAGGAAGTTAGTGGACCCATGACGGAGCAGTGTGGGGAACGCTGCGGCCCAGTGGGAGGAATTCAAGTTGGAGAAAGTTTGTGGAGGACTGTCTCCTGTGAGAGGGGGGACCACGATGGAGCAGGAGGAACAAGTTTTGGACACTACCCTCACCGAAGATGAAGGAAGTGGCAGCGCTGACTGCACCCCCCATTCCCTGCCCCTGCGCCACTGGGGGAGGAGGTAGAGATATCGGGAGCAGAGCTGAGCCCGGGAAGAAGGGAGGGGTGGGGGGAAGGTGTTCTCAAGATGTGGCAATGCTTCTCACTGTCCTACTCTGTTATGTGTTGTTAGTGTCTGTAATAAATGTATGTTCTTTTTTTTCTTCCCCTAACGAGTCTGCCTTTTGCTCGTGATCATAAAAGGGGGATTTTTCCCCATCCCAGTCCTATCTCAAATCCCAAGCCTGGCTCTCTGTCCCTTCTCATTGCCGGAGGGGAAGGGAGAGAGAGCTGCTGCATTGTGGTTGGCTGCCAATCAGGCCTAAACCACGACACTCATCTAAAAAATGTCTGTAGAAACAAGTTTGTACCTGACCTTGTCCAGCTCCTTCTGGATCATCCAGCACTTAGTCACACCTAGCAGCACCTGGGTCAGGCCCAGGCGGTTGCCAATCTCTGTCATGATGCTCATGGAGGAATCGTACCGAGGAAAGGCTGTCTATAGAAGCAGGGAGGAAAACACATGTTTTGCTATGGCCTGCTCTTCACACCCTTCACAACCCGCTATCCCCTCTGTTCTTTCTGGCAGGAAAGAGTGGTACCTGCACGTCTTTGCGACTGCGGTGAATATCTGCAAAGCACAGCAGGCACAGCGCCTGCAGAGGCCGGTCACCGTGCTGCAGGGCAATCTTCATGGACTCCTGAAAGAAAATGTCTTCGGTCAGTAAAAGAGCTTGTTCCTGGTTCAAAATAGCAGGGCTGGGACTGCGCGTTCCAGCCACTGAAAGGTCAGCTCCGAAGAGATGGCACAATCTTTTGAAGGCAAGTAAAGTCTCCTTTACATGTTCCCAAGCAAGGGCCATTTATAGACCCAAACTTTTGAGGTCCTCTGGGCTACTGAAACCACAGCTCTGAGACTGGGAGGCAGCAGGAACATCTAGAGTCAAGCGTGAATGCCATGGCACCTCTTGCTCCCAGTCCTGTAGGCAAGATCCCCTCGCAGAGACCTCTGACAGCTCTGCCTCTGCCTGCACCCCATACCTCACAGCAGTCCATAGCATCTGCCAAGCGCCCCAGCTTCCGATAGGCCACCGCCATGTGATACTGGCTCATTGCACGGTACTTCAAGCTCCAGCCCTTTCCATAATCATTCACCAGCTCAGCTGCTTTACATGGGAAGAACAAGGCTTTCTCGTAGTCCTGTAAGGTAGACAAGCAGTCAGAGCAGCAGTTACAGCAAAAGAAAAAGCAACCATTTTTTTTTTATTTACTAACATTGCAATAGCTAGCAGATTTCTGTACACCTTTCAACTCTTGCTGCTCCTGTTCCACATGTGGTATTTCACTAGATCTTTTCACTGTGTATCAAACTGCAGAAGGTGGAATTGCCATATACCTGAATTCATATTATTCTCTGGGTTCATCACACTGGAGCAATGAAACAGCAAATGAATTTTATATAGTATGGCATCAGCTTTATGCCGCACGAACCATTTGCCCTCCTCTATAACCAAAGGCTGAAAACTTTCTCTGCTCTTACATCATATCTCTGCTCTCAGCATCTACACGGAGCCCTCACGTTCTTCATATGGTGAGCCAGGATCTCCAACAGGCTGGTTATCCATCATTGCAGGAAACAGGAACAAAGAATCACGGCCTCACCAAATCCACAGTAAGGTAACAATATAACACATTTTAACTTTTAAGCATCTTTCTGCATTAAGGTGTTTCAGAAAGAAAACTTATTTTACAGTAAGTATGTAAAACTTACCTAAATATCTAAAACCATTCTCACGTAAGTTAAATAAGACTGCAGAAATGAAAAAGTCCTTAATTTTTTTAATTCTCCGACATGCACAAAGGAAACCACAACTTCTAAATTTTCCTTTCTTCCTTCTTATTTCATACCTTAAAAGTATCCAGCACAATGTTCTTTATTTTTGGTATTATGAGGGAAGTTTACTGATAGTTTTCAACACTTCATTTGGGGAGTCTTCCATTAATGACAAAAATCAAGACTTTGTGAGGAAAACCTATTTGTCACTGTTTGTAATAGAAGTTATATTGTAAATATAACTATGTTTTATATATATATATAATCTCACAAATCACCCTCATCCTCAGCTCCTGCCTGTTTTTGCTCACATAAATAGCTATTTGCCTGCGACAGTGGTAGGCATAGAGAATCCACGAGGTCTGGCTGCCAGCTCTGTGTGCAGTACCTGATCTTCTTTGAAGCTAAGTTTATCTTTTCAACATACAGGAATATTCATAGCTGCTTCTGCCGTGCTATATAAATACTAAACTAGTCCTCCCATCCTTACTGTGAAGGAGAGTACTCGATGTTTTTACAAAGAAGAGACTATAGCTTACAACACTCTCTCCTGTACTTCACTTTCTATAGCAAAGAAATAAGCCAAAATTCACACCATTTCCAATTCTTTCCCTGAATCCACGAGACAACTGCCCTTTGGTTACCGCACCTTTATCTGGGCGTAGAAGTTCCCGAGGCTGCAGCAGACTCGACACTCCAGCATCTTGTCATCGTTGTTGTGTGCGTAGCGTAAGGCTTTCTCAAAGCACTCCAAAGCCTTCTGGAAAATGCTGAGGCCCAAGAAGGCATTGCCCATGCTGAGGCTCACCTGGCCGTTCAGCTGCAGGCTCACCGTGGTACCCTGCATGTTCAGGCACGTCTTACAGTAAGAGATTGTTTTCTGGAATTCACAGAGTTTCTCATTGCTGCGAGCCAGGTTTAGGTAGCTCTCTGTAAGGTAATCTGGGTCCTCCAGCTCCCGTGCTGTGTCAATCTGTACCACTGCAAACTTTTAAGTAGAAAAGACAGTGTTTATAAAAGCGTGTAGTTTGTTTAAACACAGCTCAAACACCCACAGAGTAGCACCCTGTACTGAGAAGCGTCTCGTCTCTGAGCAGGGCAGAGAAGTCCAGCAGCACAGCCTGAGAAGCATCGTATACACTGAGCAGTTATCTGGTGGTTTAAAAGGCCTGTGAGCCCTCTGAAGAAACCTCTCCCCCTCTCCACACAGTCTCTGGGGCAAGGAAGATGAACTAGGCTGGGGGTTAGTGGAAAAAAGCTGTTAAATGGCCCTAAAGAGAAGCAGGTGAAGCAGGAAACATCTGACACAGTACAGCTCAGTTTTCTTTCACTCAGTTTCATTTATTCGACTAGTATCTTAAGAATTCCAGAGAAAGAGTACTCTATTGATAAAAGAAAGTAAGCTACTTCTTTCACCAATCTTTTTTACTAATCACAGTCTCGACAGTTCTTTTCTATAACCTTCAGCATTCATTGCATACAGTCCTCTTAAATGATTTGAAGTCTCTTTCTTTTAGACTGCACAAATTCTTCCAAGCAGTGACTCTCTTGTGTTTTGTGATGAACCAAGCACACTGCTGGCTTGAATTAATACCAGTAGCAAAGGTAAGTATTTATCAGTTTTCTCAGTATGCGTTTTCATTAGAGATTATCAGTTAGGTTTCTGGATAACAATTCTCAAGGGCACCACTTACTTCCTTTTTGTATAGTGGCAACACATAATAATTTACGCTACTGGAACATTTTACATTCTTCACAAAGTGGAAAAAAAAAAAAAACAAACAAAAAAACAACCCAGCCATAAATTGTGTATATTTGGGCATGTATGTTCTCAGTTTCCTCAGCACTTCAGGAAAGCTGCTAAGTGGACCCGGTAATGTGCATTAGCTCATGCTTCCCCGCATTCCCTTACCTTTGTACAAGTTCTTCATTATTTCCTGATTGCCACAGCCTCTTTCCCTGGTGTGAAGTAATTTTTCTCTCCAAAAGAGGTTGAGCATCAAACCTTCTTAATTCACAGTTAATTTCATGCCTTTAATTCTGACCTTCTTTTTCCTGCTATTTCCCCTCTCAATGGCTTATTGCTAAAGTTCTCCTTCCTCTTCGGTCACTTGTGGTATAAAATATTCTGTTCCACTGAAGCTATTTTTCCTTCCTAATACTGCAAAGAACTAAAATTCACCTACTCTGATCCCACTATCTGTTCTCTTCTCAGGTAACAAATTAAAGTTCAGGTATACTGAGCCTACTCCTCTGCTTGTTTCTTGTTTTCTGTGGAGCCTTCAGTGTTTCCTTCAGGTAGCCACATCTTACCTTTTTTGCTTCTCTCTTCCCTAATCAATCTGTTGTTTCTGCCACCACCTAATTTCACATCCCTTATCAGAATTGTTTTCCTTCAAATGTTTTCCAAGTGTATTAATAGCCCTCTTTTCTTCTTCATCCTAAGTATTTGGTTTTAAGATAGGGCTTTGACATGTGCATGGGTTTATTAGTCAGATGTGCCCTCCTCCCCACAATTCTAAACAGAGCTACCAAAAACTTTTCCGTGAGATGTGGGCATCCCCTTCATGATTTGTCCTAAATGCTGAGCGATTACCAGTCTAGTAAGAGGCAACCAAAAACATCAGGACAAGAATATCAAAGCCCTTTAGCAAGACCCTATTTCAGGCTGAGATAATTTCTTAAGACTATTACAACATCCTCTTGCCTTGTCTTCCAGATTCCTGAGTCACCCTCCCAAACACTGCCTTCTGCTCTCTATATGCATCCTGTTACTTCTCAGATCCACACATCGGCTTCTTTTTGTTCATTTAATCAAACTGGTTTATCCTCATGCTCTGGAAATGTACCTTCGCTTTCTTTTTACCACTCTTCGTCAAGCCCTGTATCCTTCCTCCTTCTTTGCTGTCCTGATGACTGGGAGCCCCTCTCTGACCCCTCCTGGAACGTCTCTCAACCCCCCTGCCAAAAAAGCATCTTCTTTCCTCTCAATCAGCCCCCTTGCAAACCAATAATTGTAATAAAAAACAATGCAAAAGCTATGTTAGGCATCAAACAGCAGTTGAACAACAAGATAACAGACAAGTCTCCACAAGACTGCTGCTTATTCTACAGAATCCACTTAGAGATCTCTTTTTACACTGACATACACACTGTAAACAGCTTTAAGTGGAACATAGGGCCTGTTTTCACACCCTCTCCTGAAGCCTGATAACATGGTGTGCCTGTATGTGGGGAATAAATCAAGAAAGGTCCCCATGATTCGCTGGAGAGCCTCAATAACCTGGGAATCCTGAGGGACCAGACCCAATAAAAGTAGTATTCTGTGTATCTTGTGGGGCTGGAGGTATTGCTCAACGCAGTGATTACGGCAGCCCACAAGTATGCGCTCAATAGCTGATATGTTCTACTATATACAAAATAAAACCCCCAATTTCACATTCTAATCTCCAGCCACTCTCCGTAGTGGGTGCGACACAATGGCATGCATTCATCTCCAGTTCGCCTTACCTTCAGCATATCTTTGTATCTGCCCATCTCTGCATGAGCAGTGATGAGGCAACCCAAAACCCGAAACCTGCCAGCAGGATCCGCAGACTTCTCCAAAACCCTCCTCCAGACTCGCAGGGCCTTTTCGGTCTGATTAGACTGGTAAAGATGGAGTCCTTTCTCTATCTGTTGCTTTGTCTGGTCCTGACCCATCTCCCATGCATTAAAAAGCCTCATACACTAACCTCTAAGGACAGCAAAAAGGAAGTGCATAGATGAGAACACAACATAAAATGCCCTAATAGAGGAGGGCGGGTTGTGTGCTCAGAAAACTTGGAGCCATAAAAGCCCGGCCATCTCAGAGGGCTGGAGTTGTGGTAGGCAATGGCAAGAAGTGGTTGCTCAGCACTGAAGGTAGAATCCCAAATCCACCAGGCAAACGTCCCGCTTGCTAGGACTCCCTCAGTGCCTTCGCCTGCCCGATCCCATAAACAAAGAGGAAAAGCACAACAGGGAGAGAAAGAGAAAAATCTCAAGCGCCAGGAGTGAAACTCAATCCGAGCAGGCAGCGCTGGTTCCCTCCCCATTGGCTGCAGCTGCGCCTGCCAGTTCGGCTCACGTGGCTCCCGGGAATGCTAGCCCGGCTCCCAAGGTCACGGCGAGCCAACTGCCCGCCCGCATGCAGCTTATAAATACCCCAGGGAGAGACAATCGGCTGCAGTCACAGGGATGGCTCCGCTGTCTTCCCTCTCTTGCTCCCGCCATCCCCTTTTTCCAAGCACTGGTGGTGGTGGGCCAGCCTGGGAGGTAGCAGCCTCCCCCAGGACTGTAGCTTTAGGAACAATACAAGACAGACTGTGAACTTGAAGGCTTCCAGTATGTACGCACGTAGTATTAGACTTGCAGCGATGCGCCTCGTACTTCGCCAGGCACAAAATTTAGGCTCCCTTTGGAGGCCCTCAGCAGCAATATGGACTGTTGCTGTGGTCAAAGGTCAGCTCTGTTGCAGATTTGCTGCAAAGATGGCACTGCCTGCTTAATTTCAGGGACAACAAGAAGCTAACCATCCTGAAAAAAACTTTGTTCACGACTGTTGCTCATTGCCATTGGATACTTGTGATGGTCCTCCAAGAGTTTTCAGCAGAAGCGGTCAGAAGCACTGCTGAAGTTCTGCATCCAGAACTTGCTGATCTTGTATGATGAATGACAATAATGACCCAAAGCAACGTATTCCTGCACCTTCTGATTGCGTAAGAGAATTGTTAGCCCGATTAGAAGATAGCTTTAACTGTCCTACACACCTTTGAAAGAGGGAAAGTCAGACTGGTTCCTCTAGGAGTCAAAGTTTCACTACCCCCACTGATGTTCTGCATTTTTCATGGGCCCAATCTTGGTTATCTACAGATTTACTCTGTTCTTCATAAGAAGATGCCAAACCTGGTGGGGGGTTGGGGATGTGGGGGCAGGAAATGCCTCAGGGAAGTCTAACATTTTTCAGATACAGAAGTTCCAGACACCTGTTTTGGGATGCTTTTACAGGCCAAAGAGAAGAAATGGCAATGCAGAATTTTAGTAACAGATCCACACGCAGAAGCAGGACACGCTTCCAGCTGCCTCCTGCTTCTATGTGAATTTCTTCACCAAGCAAAGGTAAATACCAACAGAATCATCTCACAGGCCACCAGCTGGACTATCCTGGCCTGTGTCACGGCTGCTGAAGGAAATACAAACCCAAGGGAGCCTTCCTGAGGGGATACCCCTAAGGAAAGCAGCACACAAAAGAATAAGGAACCACATGTCTACCCAGAGGCTTTACATCATAGCAGTCATGATCTTAAGAGATTCCATCCATACCTTTATCCAAAATTTCCTCAGAAAAGTATTTTACAAAGAAAAGCATTTTAAATGGTAGAAAAGTCTTGCTACAATCAGACTGTTTCTCTTTTGGGAGCTTACATACCCTGTACTTGCATTATTTAATTTAGCATTGTTTTACAGAGTGGTAATGTGCTAGCTGATGTTTCAGCACAGACTGTGTACTCTCAAACTCTGGCAGAAGGAACTGTGGAAAAAAACCCAACAAAAACTACCAAGGGCTTAAGAAAAGTAACGCTGAGGCACAGCTGGTTAATGTGCAAAAATCACTTCAGCAGCACTGTTAAAATTATTATCTAGGTACTTTATAGATTTTAGTGTTTCCATAAAAGTCTGATTCAGAAGTTTAAAAAAGTTCTCTCCTCCCTGCAGTAATTCTTCTGTGCCTCTCTGGAGATGGGATGGACACAAGATGCAGAGGATGGATTCCCCATGGAAAGCACTGATAATAGTGAGGCCATCAGATTTCTGGACCTGGAGAAGTTAAGAATCCAGGGCCAGCAACCATCAGAGTCTGCTACAAAAAAGGGTCAAGCCAGGACTCAAGAAGTGGGAAAACAAAAAACCATACTCTTCGCTGGGGCAGACTACTTTGCAAAATTAGCCTTCCACAAGTAACCGGCCTGTAACTCAAACTCATCCTGATGCTTTTGGACCACTTCACCAAAGCACTGCCCTCCTCAATATTTGCTCTCATATCCCACAAAGAATAGAGCAAGTGAGAAGAGGATGCCTTGCAGCCTGACAAAACCCATCTAGCAGGAGGGAAACGATCTGTCCCGCGTTTTGTTGATCACACGGTACGTACTTCCTCGCTGAGTTCTCATATGAAACAGTGCTTAGTCTCTTAAGAATCCACTCACAACCCACCTACTGAGATAAAAACTTACCCTAGTAAAATAAAGGCTAGATCCATCAAGCTCAAACTGGTCATTTTCAGAAAACAGAAGCATACTCTGATATGGAACATAGCACCCTGAGCCCAGTGTGGCTGCCTACGTAAGGAGGGGTGAATGAGTCACCAAGACAGCGACTGCCTGGGCTGCTTCGAGAAAGTAATGGCAGAGTGATCATCGGTCTGTGGCTCGAGATAGCTCTGGTTTGTACAAGATTCAGCTATGGCTTCTACAGTAAGTGATCCACAGTTTCTTCTCAGGAACTGCAAATAAGTAAGCCTGCAAGGTGCACGGAAACACCAAATTAGGGAATCTCACCTGTCGTGCAGTGGAGCTATACACGCAGCGTAGCTAATCACGCAGTCACTTCTTCAGAGTGACCACACTGAGCTGCTGCTTCTCCTCCTCCCCATTGCTCTTCGTAATGTATCCCCGGTGACTCCTGGCCACATGAAGACAGCAGAACATGGCTAGTGAAGTCAGGAAGATTGGAGACTGGAGTCAAAACAAGCAGTGAAAGGTGGAGGCGGATGTGAGAAGCAAAAAAAAAAAAAAAAATTCTCCTAAAACATTCAACATCAGTACTTAATCTACAGGTTTGTAAATTTCCTACTGATGTTGATAAACAGAACTCATGTGAAATGCTGGTTATTTTCAGAGATAATATGCCAGCTCTTATTTGTAGTTTAATTGTCTACTGATTGGTGGCAGCCTTTTAAATTAAAGGAAAAAAACCTTCAAAAAAATAATATAAAACCCACCTACCTAGAGGGACCTAGTCTCGGTTCCATAAAATGCAACTGATGGAGCTTTGACTGCCTTAAGATGAGGCTAGCCAACTTTCTACACAAGCAGGAATCTTCCATCCAGCCTAAACAAACTTCCACCACCCCTCCACCCCCCCCATAGTTTCTCTCCATCCTTCATCTCGGACATATCTGAACCGAAATCTCTCTGGCCTCCCTTCTCAACAGCTGCAAATTAAGTGCAGGGACCACAGCCCGCTCTGCAACAGGTGGCTCAGCGCCTCGCTTCGCAGTTGGTGGGTAGCAGGGAAAGGAATGCAGCCCTCAAGCCTGATGCTTGCAAGCGCTCTCAGATTTACAGTCATGTAGAAAGTAACGGGGTGAAACAGAGTATGCCAGATAATAGAGGAAAAAGACACGGAGGAGAAACATAGCTGCCCTGAAAACGCTTGCAGTCTCTGAGATGCCAGACAGCAGAAGGAAGGAATAACATCACCGAGCTTTCAGAAATGTGGCAGAGGCATGGCCATTGTGGTACTTTGCTTCTGAGAAGCAATATTAACGTCAAATTCGTGGCGAGTTTCTAAATGAATTACACTTTGCCTAGACCAAATATTTATCTTTTTACAACTCATTCCAAACCATTAACGTATCTTAGTTCTAAAAGCAAAGCAGGTAACTTTCGCCTATCAACAAAACCTGAGCTAGGCAGTGTTCCCAACCCATCCGGGGGTTTTCCTGTGTAGTATTTCCAGGCTCAGGAGCACTGGGGACTGCAGACACCTTCCTGCTGCAGAACCAGGATAGGTTCAGCAAACTTGGCTGTGATCCTGGAAGGGTTAAGGAAGCAGTGGTGGGTACGGGGCTCGTAGGAGCAGCATGAGCTGGTGCCTGTCTAATCCCACACGCCACCACGCACGCCTGCTGCTCCCATACAGCAGAAGTCTGGTGTTATGCCGATGTTATTTAGCCCTTGAAACACCATGAATCACCGTGCACGCACAGGCAAGTGGCTATGCAGCACCAATTCTGTGAGGCTGGATATGCCTACACCTCACTCCCCAGTGCATCACATATGTGCATTATCCAAGATTCTCAGCTTTTCTGTATCTAATGTCTAAAGGGGACTTGACTGCCAAATGATACAAAATGGAGGCTAAACAACCAAAAAAACCTCTTCCACTTCTACTCAAAGTAGCTCATCTACACAGAGGTAAAAATCCAGGGCTATAGACTGTACATCCAGAACAAGTGGTACTGGGCCATGAACGCTTTTGTGGCTCACAGCTAAGAAACTGGAAGATAGTTCTCTCCTCTCTCTCCTCATCTTCCCACACTCGGACCCAAAAAGAACCTCAAGTTTAAGACACAAATACAACACACAAGGACTCTTCTCAAACAGTTTAATAGCAAATAAACAAAGGAAGGTACCACACTTGGCATATACAAAATGACTTGTTGTCGGTGTGTCTGTGCAATTAAAACAGCTTTAAGTTGCCCTTTGGGACAAAAAGAAAAAAACACACACACACAAAAGGAAGAAAATTCCTTTAACACATACTCGCTCGTTCCAAACTTGTAACAAATCTTTTCATTTTTAAATCCACTACACAAACTCTGTGATCAGATCTGAAAAGCAACACGTGCTCCTCTGCTTTTTAAACCATTAAAGTAAAATCCATAATTCTCTACAGAGTACAACACAATTTCACACAAAAAGACATTTTGTTTTGCAAATCAAAACAAGAAAAAAAGGAACAGCTCAAACAAGGTAAAGAAAAGCATTTCTACGACTGAACCACGACTTTGAGTTGATTAAATCCCGTTACTGCAGAACAGACTCTACATTTGGTCATAGTGGCAATTTGTTTTCTCGTCACATTGTGAATCACTTTACATTGTTTTCTAGTAGAAAAGGCAAAAAACTGTACAAAACCCCTAGTGTTAAATACAATGTTTGTACCAATAAAAAAGCCCACAGGTTTGTCTCCAAAATGTAAATTTTCTTTTTAAATTATTCACAAAAAGCAGCCAAAAATCAGAAAGGCAGCTGCTGCTCCACTGTCTCAAATCCATTAAAACCACCACAGAACGATTAAAACAACCAAAGGAAGAAAAGGAAAGAAGAAAGGAAAGAAACATCCAACGTTTGGCATTTTGGTTTTCTTCAGATATTTTTCCACAGGTTTCCCCAAAGTTCCTTATGGAACCAAATGCGCGTGTATAGAAACGTATTGGCAGTTACTCAATCCACTGCAGGGTATCGGTGTCCCCCACTGACACACAGCCCTGTGCATTCAGACTGTGGGACTAACAGCAGCCAGCCCACCATCTTACCTCCCAAAATAAACAAGTCTCTCTCCATTTTTCATCCAGCCTCGCGCTTCACTCCCAGGTATATGTACCATACCCAAACGTGGTCTGTCTCAGAAGCAGCTTAAGGACTGTCTACACAAGTCTAGCCAACATCTACTGAGAACAAGCAGTATCCTCAGTCCACTCAGGAGTAGGGCAGAAAACACCATCCTTTTGCATCTTTGCATTATCCCAAACACTGGACAGAAGTAAGATTTCTATCCGATTAAAACACGATTTGTTTTCTCAGCAAAACCCCTTCCCTGGGATTTCATTTCACATTATTTTCTACTGTTAAGATACCTACATTAGCTTGCTTCTCCTTCTGACGGAAACTTCATCACAGCACACATCTTCAGGTGCTTTCATCTAGAAGCTACATCCCAGTTTCTACCTGTGCAGATGGTATGTAGCATAGGGGGAAGCCTGCTACCCGGAAAGCAGTAACATGTTCTAGTTCATCCTGCAAGCCAGAAAAACTGCTTAGCTCATTACCCAATTAGAAACTAAACAAAAACTAAAAAATCTCCGTAGAGATTCCCCAGCTAAGGCCCTTGAGAAGAGAGCTGAGGATGGTACCCTGTTCAGGTAACAGCTTCAGAGGCTGTTGTATTGTGCTTGTCACTTGGGAAAAGAGCCAGCAGTTGTAGGGCCAGGTTTACAAATGCTTTCTCTGGGATATTTCAAACACTTGATTTTGAGAGCTAACCTAGATCCCTCCAGGATCCTGCCACCAAGGCCTGACTGATGGTATTAAACTGGGGCTGGACTTCACAAAAAACGTGCCCTGATTTTTACAAAATGCTCATAAAGAGTGTTTCAAAGGAGCCCTAGCTTCAGATAACTTTGGAAACAGAAATACCGTGAAGCTCCCCCACCCTTCTGTACCCCAGCTATCCCCTCCCACCAAAACTTCCAGTACAGGAATGGTGTGACCGAGCCCCCTGGGAGCCTCTGACAGCACTGGAGATGGAACAAGGTCCAGGTGCTCTGTCAGGCAGACAGTCTAAGTGCACAGGTAAATGCCCTCAGGTGGCTTCTGATCAGATATTTGTCATACCAAAAACACCAATTTAAAGGATACCTTTGAAACCCATTAAATTGCTCAGTTTTTGCACAAACTATAGAAAACAGAGGGTGAAGGTGATATATACGGGGGTGTGAAGAAAACAGCAGGAAACATGCAAAACATTTCTGGGCACTATCTTAGTTTGAAAGATTAAAACAAAAACATCACATTTTGCTGAGGAGATTGTAGTTACAAAAAAACCAAACATGCTGGAGCTTAACAAAATACAACATCAACTTTGATCAAATTTTCACTGCAGACTGATAATCACACAGGGAAGCAGGGGAAAAAAATAAAAATAATAATTAAAATTAAAAAAAAAAAATCAGTAAATGCCAGGGCAAAAAAAGTAGCTACAATCGGAAGAAAATGTAGTTCAAGTGTTTTCTGCTGATGCCACTCAAGTCACAAGTTTGAACTCATAAAAACACATGCTGTCTCCTCAAGCACAGTAACCAGATCAGCAAAATGTGACTAGAAAGTCTCTTGAAAGATTGAGTCACACCATATAATTGACTTTTTTTCTTCGAAACTGTGTTTTTAAAACTAAGCACACAGAAGAAACTAAGCCTAGAAAGTGATTGGCTGTATGTTCACAGAAATACAAATACTCCACAAGGTATGCTAGCAAGGCTGCTCTGAAGACAATTACAAAGAATCAGATTCACAAAATCAAGTGGTTATCTTACGAAGGTCTAGAAAAATAGAAATTCTTTTATATTCAAATGCAAGTTTAAATATTCCCCTTCAGCAGTCTTTCTAGCAAAACCAATTTGGCAGCACAAAAAAAAAATAAAAACCACAAAAAAAAAAAAAAGAAAGAAACAAACATAATAAAAATACACATCAGCATCAAAGGTCAACACAAGGTCAAAGGTGAGAGTTCAAGCATCAGAGAAGCTGAAGAGACAAGGATTTGGACGATGTACTTGAACGCCACATCGACATGCTTTAGGCACAACGATGAACAAACGGCAGGAATCTAGAAAAAAAACAAACCAGAAAGAGGGAGACCCACTGAGTTACACAGAGCAGTACATCCAAACACGGAGAGAGAGAACAAGAATGGGCACTGTACAATGAGATCTCCTGGGGAAGGGAGTTGACAGGGAAGGGCAGCACATGCCAATGATGGACAAGTAAAAGTCAAAGTACATGAAGGACACCAAGTAAACATCAAACTGCCAGAAACCAAATGGAAGCAGAGGCCTGGATTTCCCCTCTCAATTCCCAGTCTGTGGAGTACTCCAACAGCCTAGGCACACACAGATGAGCGTGCATTCACCTTGCCCTGTGCCCAGTGTCTCCACGAGCTCTGTTGAGGAGAAGAACAGAGCAAGCTCCCTCCCCAGGAGACCGACTCCAAAAAATATGGCTCCAGGGCTAATGTTTGCCCACAGAGACTGAGACCATGAGAGACAAGACAGAGGACACAAGGGATTCACAGGTGGTTTGGCGGCTGAGACTTTTCTTGCATCCTAACATGGGAAATTCTTAGGCAGTGGTAGCCCAGGAAATTCATGTTCTTTCCTTCAGCTACAGTCCCTTCTCATTCCCTAGGAGCCCATGAAACTGGGGATGGGTGATTTTGAACAGGGGGAAAAAATATTTTTTTTTTTAAATTATACAAGACAAAAACTCCACACATTAGAGAAGAATTCCTTAAGACTTGACTGCAAGTTAAGACTTGTCCTAGCTGAGCACTTTTCATACCATTAGACCTGCACAGGGATTTTCCATTCCCAATCCTTTATATAAACAGCCCCCAGCTCCCTGACTTTGTGAGGAGGGGATCCTGGGCTCTGAGAAGCTCTACAGTCACTGTTGCCAGTTTGAGGAGTAGAAAAAATGTGTTTCCTGAAGCTTTCTTGCAGAGTTTATAAATAAAATAATTCATATATTAAGTATAAATACCTTTGTTTCCTCCCCACAGCTTTTGAACTGCAGGAGATGAGCAACATTCTGGGAAGAATGTGGGAGGCAGAGGAGAGAGGAAGCAAGTTTCTTCTTTTTCTTATTTCTTCCTCTCTCCCCTACCCCTCTTGCCCTGACTCCCTTTTATCTCCTGTTTGTGGCCTTATTGTTCAGCACATCTCAGACCTGCTGGTTAGAGACTACAGCAAGGTGAGACTTGCGTATTATCTTATAGCATTTCTACCATGTTTGAGAATAGCAAGTGTTGCATTCTAGGTCCAAAGCAACAAGAAGCACGCTGTCCCCTAAACCTGCAACACTCCACTTACTAGAACTGCTGAGACTAGTTTGCTCTTTATACTTTCTAATTCAGGGAAAGGACTCAGTATTGAGTTTAAACGAACTCCAGCAGAGTACAATACCACTCTTGCAGTTATTTCAGTAGTTTTAGAAATACTCTAGATAGTTTGCAGATAGCTGTAAGGTTTCAGTCCAAAACCAGAAAGGCAAATTCATCACAAACTGAGGCATAAGAAACAACAAGAGGCATGAAAACAAGTGACATTTAAGCATGCACCGTAGAAATTGTGTGTGTGATCTGTTTGGGGTTTCTCTGATAGAGATTTTTCAAGTATTTCACTCAGAAATTTTGAGGGGAAAGACTAAGTTTCATTAAAGCCCTGAGGAGGGACTGGCCTACAAGAGCAGAGCCATGAGATGCTGGATAAGAATGTAATGAGTTGGGGAAAGTTTTTCCAGTTTGTCCTTGTTTTATTCTCGCAACTGCAATAATTCTGCCTTTTGTGTTTTATATTTTGTGGTGGGTATGCTCAGGGATATATCACATCCTTATGTTTAAATGCGTGCAACAAGCTCTCAAAGCATTTTATGTGTTCATAGTTGCACCCTTCATTTGCGATTTGCTTTTTCCAAGTTACTTTTAGGTATTTCCAAATGAAATAGAAACAACTTCATTCTGCTCGCCTGTTCTTCCCTAACTTACACCCATCAACAAGAACACTTCAGTTAATTCTACCATGCAAGCAGAATCTATCATGTTAACTGACCTTCAGTATTCAGATGAAAAGCTTTTTTTTTCCTTAGAGATGTATTTGCCAGTGAGAAATTCTCTGAGGCACCTATTTTCCAGATAGTAGTGCCCATAGCTAGTGAACTGCCTCACCACTAAAATATGAAGAGATATTCACCATCGCTGCCTCAGACACTTTTGAAAAATTCCAATCCTCATTCTGTTTAGGATTAAAATTTAATCACTCTATATCAAAGGCATTTTCTAATAAGGCAAGCTTTGTATTACTGGAAGAAAAAAACCTGAACTACAAAGAGATATCCTATTTTGGACTGTTGATTATCTAGGGGACTGAAGAACCTAGGATTTCATTTACTGTAGTACTTGATACTAAGTAGCAGCAGACCAAGACTTAAACTGTTCGTAATACTTTCATTTTATTATGGCATATCTAGTAAAATCAATGTCTTCTGAGAAAAAAAGTAATCTATGAAGTAGATCATTACCATCTTGTTTCTAAAAATATGTAAACACCCCTCTTGGTGGCACATGTAATAAGGAATTCCATTTCATCAGAAGTTCTACTAGCTTTTGTTGTAGAAAATCCAGATTCTTTGGTTTATGAGCATACAGAATACTCTGTCCATGTGGCTAATGTGGCCAATCCTTCTGCAGTTTATTTGAACTCACCCCACTCTTATCCTACCATCCAGGAAATAAAGCATTTGACACCGATTTGATTTGCACTTGAATGAGAGCATGATAGATATTAAAAATAAAATAAAGTTTAAGAGCCCCAAGTCCCCAAAATTCAAGACTTCCCTGCCATGAGTGAGGAAGAAAACTGGCTTAAAACTGGAAGGCAAGAAGAGCCTAAATCTCTAGTCAGCGGCAGGCACCAGACAGACACGGAAATGTTGACTTTATCTGATCAGTTCTGTTATCAGAAAAATATCTGCCCAAGTCACAAACTCGATACATTTATTAACTTTGGCAACATATACATTGATACACCAAGAAAGGGAAATCTGAAACATATACACAAAAAAGGGCAACATCTTCAGCTGGTGAAAACTGATGCAGCTCTACTGAAGACAGCAGTACTGCATTGATTCAAACCAGCTGAGGATCACATATTTTAAAATTTAACCTGCATAGATTTTTTTTCTTCTTCTTTTTGGCAATACTTACAGTTATGCCAGTAAGGCACAAGAGCTAGCCCAAGTTAAGTGTCTTAAGGTGATTACGTCTGGGAGGAGTCACTGGTCAAACTAAGCCACAGTGTAAACTGGTGAACCTCCTGAAGTCAATAGGAGTTGCACCGATTTGCAACAATGCCAAGCTTGATCCATAAATTACAGTATTGAGGACACACTACAGGATGTAGAAGCTGAAATATCTAATTTGGGGCAACTGAAATGACTAGCAAAGAGGCCAGAGCATCAGGTTAAAAGCAAAACAGGACAAAGGTCTCAGATAGTACAGTGGGGGAGGGTGCAAAGAAGGTAAGAGTGACTGTAGAGACCCCAGAGCACAGTGCTCTCCTCCACTGGTTCACAGCATTCTTCTTCCCCATTTAGCAGTTGGGCTGCAAACAGGCCACTGAAAATCAGTAGTTTCAATCATGCACATCATTATGCATGTAAAACAATCACATTCAGGATTCTAAAAAACCCTGGCCTTTTTTTTTTTTTTCCAGTGAAATAATTTAGGTAATAAATATTCTCCACCCTGGAGCGGTATAAAACTTCTATAAAAATAGAAACAACATTCTTGGTTACAGCAGGTTGCACTTGGAGCAGTTGCTCCCAACTATGTTTTTTTTCCGTGTTGTTCTTTATTTTTTTTTTGGTTTTTTTTTTCATTTTTTTTTGAAAAGTATATTATTTATAAAAAAAAAAAAAAATCCCATTATCACCCTGGAGGCCTTCAAACTCCAACACTCTTTTCTCAGAAAACCAGGACACATCTTTCCCATCGTGCAGAATTCAAGTGTACATGGTTCACTTAAGTGTATGTTTACGTTTCTAGAGAGATTCAAATAATTAACACAGAAGGGTACCACATGCCAGCATAACGGGGAAATTTGGCAATCTGGCCTTTGAACCTTTGCCACCACAAAATGATTCGAGTAATACTGACAGATTTACCTGCCTGCCATCAACACAGACAGACCAGCATCAACTGTTTCTTTTTCAATTTAAGAACGGAAAGGGCTCTTTTTGGATGGTACAGGCCTTTTACTTCTGAGGTTTGAGATCCCAGGGGACCCAGTCCCTGGGAACACCCGACATTCCCAACAGAACACCGTGCATGGGTGTGGATTCTGACCCTCATCTCCGGTTTGATGGGTTTAGTGCTCCTCCTCCTGGAGCAGAACAGAGAGTCCCAATCCTGTGTCTGATCCACATGCTCGTTAATGAGCAGCTGGCTCCCAGATCACAGTGCTAGCTGGTGCCCTGGGAAACAGCATCACGAACCAGGAATACAAATAAAAATAGGAAAAGGAGAAAATATGAGGTAAATGAAATTTCTGTTAAAGATGCACAGAAATTGTAAACTTCCTCTTGGGACAGAGGTGGATTTTGGTGGTTATTAAATGGGACTCTACTCTGATTTCTTAAAACAACTCAGGCCAGAGTGTCAAAAGTCCTTTGAGCCCCCTAAAACCAGTGTATAACAAAGGCCCTTAGCAACGCATTAGCAGTTTCACAAGTGTGCAGAAAAAGTGTGTGTCCATTGAAGGGGTGTGTTCAATTTTCCTTCAGCATAGAAGATAACAGCTCGTACCAAAAGGCAGAAGACGACTGAATGGCTCAATGCTCTGCTCTGATTACACAGCTCCTGTGTTAGCCTGTTTTGCACTGATACACACCACCTTAAAGGAAAACTGCAGTACAAAGAAATACCTAATTACTAGACCAAATCACTGCACAAATTGTGTTTTTTGTTTTTTTTTTTTTTTTTAATTTTGTTGGTTTGGTTTGTTTGTGTTTTTTTTTTTTTCCGGTTTTGTTTTTCTTTTTTTTTTTCTAAAACCCAGGATGTTATTTTTGCAACAGAGTTAAGATGGAGAATCCTATGAGAACATGTATGAAACAGGAGCCTCAAGAGCTGTGTTAGGGCAACTCTGGGCTTTGTATCTCAGTTCAACAGTCATTTTAATAGAAAAACAAACAGCACTTACATTATGCTTATCAGAATGAATTCAAAGTAGTACTCTGCAAAAAGGACATTATTCCACAGAAATGGGGAATGTGATGAACTGTTAAGAAGAAAAATTGTCAAAAAAATTCTGCAGGTTACCAGGGATCAAAAGTTTCTTGTTTCCAGCCTGATGTATTCATCCAGACTAAGCCGTATCTCTCGATACTTTTCTACAAAAACTAGATAAAGTACATGGGATAAGTTCTCTTAAATATGGAGAAATTCACTGCATCTCATTAATATTCATATTAACATAGTGAAATTTTCTGGGAAGGGACATTATCTACTAATTTTATAAAGTGCTGTGTACGTTCACAGTGCTATATAAACACTATTTTATATACAGCAAAAAAAAAAAAAATCACTGCAGTTTTCCTTTGGTTTGTTAATGTGTTCACACTTCTAGCCTGTCTCTTGCTTTAGAGATGCTTTACTAAATCCCCACCATGGCATACAGTTAAGGAAATTTCCAAGAGCAGATGGGGCATGACAAAGGCTACATGGAGTCAGTTCTTTGCTCACCCAAACTTGGATGGACTTGGTTCTCCTTCCTCATCTTTGTTTTCATCAGCTGTTCTGTGTTATTCCTGCTTTTCCTTCTCCTCTCCCCTATGGTGGTGTGGTGTCAGTTCTGCTTCCCCTTCTCCTCTCTACCCCAAGGCAGTGTGGTGTCAGTTCCTGCTGCTCCCTTTAAACCTTCCCTCCCCACCCCCAAGGAGCTGGCATTGGTCCTTCTCAACACACACTGGTTACAAACACAGCAAACTTCAAATAAGGGAAAAAAAATAAAATAAAATAAAATAATAAAAAAAAAACAAAACAAAACAAAACCTCAGCGATATGGCACCTAAACTCCAAAGTAAAACACTGGAAACAAAAGCACAAACTTGTCCTCCATCCGAAGCAGGATTCTCAGCAGAGGCTGCAGCCGAGTCTTCAGGGGAAGATTTGCCAGATAGAAGGCATGGATCAGCTTCCAGGACTGTAAAAACACAGCCTTAGGGCTTCGAATCACTAAGTGCGCTCCTCTCCAACTTACCAGAAGATCCTTCTCACTCCAGTCCCGGAGGGGAGGGGCGCTCAGTATGGCTTGCTGTCATTCTTAGAGCGCTTGAGCTGTACTTTCAGACGCTTCATGCCAATCTGAAAGCCGTTCATTGACTGAATGGCAGCCTGCGCAGAGACAGGATTGTCGTAACTTACAAAACCTGAAGAAAGGAAAAGACGTAATTACACCATGTCAAAGCTGTCCAGAGCAGCTACTCACAGTTGGCAATGCAGGTACTCACAAGGTAAGAGAGGCTTGCATGAAATGCCAGTTTCAGAGGCTCACAACTGTTTTAGACTCTTCATAAAAACTTCTTACTAAGGGCTTTCAGACAAAGCATTGCTTTCTGACATATGGAACTTTGGCCAAAAACTATACAAAGCTCAGGAAATTAAAATAACATTTTCTAGTTTTCCTTCTTTAAAAGTTCTTCTTTTACAAGAACTCGTACCTGGGAGAAAACCAAACCTGGAAAATGTTAATCTATATATGAAAGCTCATTAAAGATGCAAGGCTGAAATCACCCTCTTAGCATTACAGGAGTAGATTTGTTTGGAGTGAAGAAGCTGTCAAGGCAGTGTGGCACTTATACCACTACTATGTTTAGGTTTCTCTCGGATGAGAAGTTGTGTATCATTCCAGGGAAAGAGTGTCCTGAAAATAAAACTTCTCCAGGGTTTTAAAGGAATCCATTTTAAGTAACTCCAGTCAACGGCTGGCATCACTACCTGAGGAGATCATTCTATATGTAGGTGTTACAGCCTGATGCTCAGAATATTTTTTCTGTTCTCACAAAGCATCAGATTGACCGCATCTTTTGGCTGAAATACTAAAAAATACAGAATATTGTGTAGGCACAAAGCTATCTAAACCATAGAGAAAATCTCACCTCTCCTACTCCATCACAAGAAATCTCCATCTATCAAAACAGTCACGAGAGCTTACAGCACCACAGAATGGCTACAACTGCTTGCACTGGGGTTTCGAAGTGAGGAAAAGAAAACCATGACTTTTTCAGTCCACATGCACAGCCTCCTACTACATAAGCTAAGGAAGAGTAAGTTCTCCGCTCTTCTGGCATCACAGACTTTAGCTGTTAACTGGAAATAATCTATTTGGATAGTAACAGTAGCATGGCAGGTTGATTTACAGTTTTAGGATACACTTCGCACCCTGATGTGCCTCCCATCTAAACACACAACTATCAGAGCAAAATTGGGATAAGAGATGCAACCAAAGTTAGGCAGTAAGTAACAGCTGAAGTGGTTTTACTATTACAAAGATCTCAAGAATTAGGAGGAAGATTCAAAAATTGCCCTCGGAGCTTTCGTAAAACATCAGAGTCAAATGCTCCTGTACCATATGGTAGCCGTAATAGCTATATATAAAAATATTAATAGAAATCATCCATAATGATAATTTAGTAAGTAGTATATACACCAATGTAAACAAGTAGTGAAAAGAAAGAAAGGGGGAAAAAGAGGAACTATACCATGATTATAGTTTGCAAACATGAATCGTAGTGAATTATCTAGGGCCAAAACAGTATAATGAGGCATAGTAGTACAAAATCAGGAAAAGCAAAAAGTCACAGTGAAAATCAGGAAAATACAGTTCATTGTCGGAAGACTTTAGATTGATTTATTTATTTTTAGCAATAGAGAGAGTCACTACTTGACTTAAAAGCTAGAATAGACAATATACTGGAAAAGAGATCACTAGAAGCCATCTTTCTACAGGTAATGATTAGACCCAACATACCAAAACACTTGCTTAGATTGGTCTGCTTGTCAATGAAAACCTTGGCAGAGACGACATTTCCAAATGGCATGAACATCTGCAGCAGATCCTGATCCCCAAACTCCTGGGGGAGATGGTAGATAAACAGATTGGCTCCCTCTGGACCTTCAAACAGCAAGTATGAATATAAACTCAGAAATAGCATACGTAACATAGGTCCACTTCACAAAAAAAAAAAAAAAAAAAAAAAGGTAAAAAAGCCATTCAAGCTAAATTTTCTAGATAAAACAATGAAACTGCTGTTTGCACTTCTGCGGAGTACTTGATTCCACAATAAATCAGCATGACCCTTTGCTGGGATTGATCATTCAAATCATTCTAGCTCTTTCTCACCATTTTTGCTTGTAATTTCCATACTGTGCCAAAATTGGTTCACAGGTCTTTGCTGTAACGGAAGCTGAACAGTAAGTTTGAGCCCCTGATGCCGACTAAAACAAAAATGGCTATGCAAAGCTTGTGGCCCAAAGAAGCTAAGTGAATCTCAATAGAAAATACAAGTAATTGCATTACTTGTAATCTAACAGACTCTTTTCTAAATGTCATCCTATATTCTGCTGAAAACTTACTCCTACATTCTTCATTACTTTACACTACATGTTAAATTGATTCTGAATCTGAAGAGTGAAGAAAGTGGCATTAAGTATATGTGGGAAGAGGTGAAGGACCAAGAAAACAAAATTAACAAAACCACTACCGATTCTCTGACAGTGGGATGTATCAGGCTGCAGACTCATACTCTCCTGTCCTCTGAGAAAATGGAGGAATATGATTACTAAACATTTAAGAATAGACAAATCCTGGGAGAAAGCCCCTGTACAGAAACTGCTCTGGACATCCCTTGAGAGACACCTCATGTGTTTTCCTTCTTTATCTTCAGTAACTCTAGGATTCTAAAAAGTGCTGCCAAATAAGAGCTCTGCTGATAAGGTAGTTGCAAGATCTGAGGCTGCCCTTTTGAAAACCCCTCTCAAGTTGTTTCTACAACTTTCTGCCTACCTTCTTTTTGACTTCCTGCTGCACCAATACTCTGCTGTGTTAGGAGACTCTGGTTATAGAGTGTGGGCAAAGCAGCAGCAGCATATTGCTGGATTCCAGAATAAGCCTGCGTGAGGGCTTCCATTGTGCTACCTGTCCCATTTGAGAGACCACCGCTGCCAAGTCCTCCATTTAAGGCTGCCATTCCTGTAAAAGAAAGAGGAAATAAAGATGACTGAGTACTTCCACTGAGCCAGATCAATTACCTTTTAAATACTCTGCACTATTACAAGGAGGGAGCAGAAACCCCTAACCCCACAGAACTAGCACAGTCTGAGGAATAATAATCAGCCATTCCTCCAACATACCACAACACGTAGCTCACCTGCTAAAGAGCTAACGTTGAGGCCTGCCGTAGCCCCTGCCAGCGTCTGCAATGCTCCAAGAGAAGCCATTGGATTAACAGAGGAGCTGCTACTGGAGCTAGGTGAGGAACCTGCTATTAAAATAAGATCATTAAACTTCAAGTAGTATTATTTGGTCCTAATAATTCAACTTCTTCATTAAGTTATTTCAGTAGAAAAGGCTAGTAAGACACAGATCACAGCAACACAGTACACTATGTCAAAAAAAAAAAAAAATCCCAAACCCACACAACTTGATTGATCATGCTGCTTGTATCTTCTAATTCCTTCCTACATTTTTGAAAAACTTCTCATTCATCATAACGTCTTCTCTTTGTAGCAGTAAGTTTCATGAAGTGTAAGACACCTAAGATTCAGACAATATACGAATGTTAGCTAAACTTGGTACCTCAACATAAGGTGACCAGCAGCAATGCCTGTTCCCTGCTGACTAAAGTGAGTAAGAACCACTTGCTACATATTAACATCTACCCTTGAAACATCACACAAGGTAAAAAATACCTGAAACACAGATACTAGGGACATTAAAGAAAGCTCCAGTCAAACTGCACATACCGTTTCCCCATACTGCCAGAACAGGAACAACAGATGCCCAGATTATTCTGACACATGAAATAATTCTCCATTAAAAATCGTACTGCAGCAGCTGGGGCTAGGGCCAGGTCGTACGTCCAAAATACATAGTCCATCCTCTGTTGACTGTGCCACTAACATCTTCAAACATGTTTACTCAGAAAGAGAAGCCTACAGATACAGTACCTATCAGACTAACAGCTTACATGGCCTGCCAACTTCTACAACAGGTAGTTAGTTCTACAGAGACAGACACCAAAACCACGAGAAAAAAAAAATTCCCAAGCTGCTATATCAAAAGAAACAGAAGTTCAAATTGATGTCATCTACAAAGACTATGGACGTGATAAAATAAGAACAGTATTTTTATGAAAATATAGCAGTTGTTTTCCTAAGAGGTTTGTGGACTACTTAGAAATCTGAAGAAGGTAAATAAGAAAAGCTATGCATAGTGCTACTAGCCTGAGTAAGGGTTTAAATTTACTGCACAAGATGCACTAGAAAATATTTATGGCTTCTACAAATTAAAAGATACTGAAGACTGGTGCTGTAGAGGCATCTTGTAGCCTTCTTTCAAGAGGAATTATCTGTCCGACCAAGTGGGTAACAGAACTGAAATTCAGGTATTTTCAGTTTCCTTCATGTTTCTGCGATTCTCAGTTACGCTGTGTACATCCATTAAAACTTTTAAAAGAATTTTTAGCATCTTTCAAGCAGATTCACACACACCATATTCACCACTGCACACACGTGGCATAAAGTCTCTGACAGAGTGGAATATGGTAACTGCTTACGTGAAACACAGAAAACTCGCCTAACAAGCCCCAGCAAAAGCTGTACCCAACAAAAGCTGCATGAGAACCCAGGGGGCTGCACTTTGTATCACTGTTTAGCTTTTGTACTGACAGAGGAAGTGACAAACCCCCTCTATGAAAAGTTCTAGACAAACTCGCTTAAGTCAGAAATTGAAAGACAATGTCCCAAACTATATTTTAAGATGCTTACTCTGAAGAGACACTTCCTGTCTTACTATCAGTAGCATATTTAATGTTGGAAAAATACAGAGATCAAGTTACAGTATAACCCTCAAGTTCGTAATAAAAAAAAAAAAAAAAAAGCATAGCTGGCTGAATAAAAGCCAGCGTTTGGAAATTATACCGCTGCCTCGATTTTAGAATATCGCTTGTTTCTGCAACACTTTGTTGATAATCTGCACAGAATGAAAAGACTACATTTGACAGATGAGAACACCACTGGAAAAAAACCCGAATTATAAAATAATAGTGTTAGGGTGAAAAAAGAACGAAGCCAAGGCTAGAGAGAAAAATAAAAGAGAGAACAGCTGCCTTCTCCACTTTAAAAAGGTTGTGATTTTAAATAAATTCATGTAAGTCACTACAAAAAGCTGAACACAGATATTTTATTTTAGCTGACTTTATCAGAAATCTCTTTAAGCAAAACAAGAAATGCTTTAGTACTAAAAACCCCAGGAAAATGTAACTGTTTGGTTTATTTTCTTTACCATATGTATTTAGGAATTGCTATCCTGAGTCAGCACCCCATTTCTGATGATGACTAAAGGCAGAAACACAGGCAATTACAAAGGAATACTTCCAAGGTATAGTCTATACACCAATGCAGCAATTTGCAAATCTAGGATTTTTTTCAGCCAAGGCTAATGTCTTTCTATTAAAGTTATGATTTTAATTCATTAATGTCAGTACATTTTGAATACCAAATTGTTTGACTCTGCTATGTTCTAAGGCAGGGGTTCTGCAATTTAATCGTGCACTATGCAAAGAAACAGCTCTTTTTATTTTTGAACTGTCAGTTGATAACTTCACCTGATATCCTGTAACTCATCTTGAAATATCTAACAACTGGTCTTTCCCTATTTGTCTTCATCACAACACTAATATATTTGTAGGCTTGAATCACCTCCTCCTCCCCTGTCAGTCTTCTATTTTTCAGGCTCCCTCATCGCTCCTGATAGTGAAGGAGTTCCACAGTTCTAGTCATCCTTTCTGTTCTTCTGGCTTTTGTGCATTATTTTAGATCAGAAAACAGCACATGGTAACGGGGAGAGAAAACCAGTATCGCTTTATAGATGTTCTTTAATTTATCCCTAATGCTTAACATTGTTTCTGTGCAGGTTTTGGTGGGTTGTTGGGTGTTGTGGGGCTTTTGTTGTTTGGGGTTTTTTTATTTTTATTTAATTTTACTTGCTACTGAGGTTATGCTTTCTTAGATCTATCTACTCAGTTATATCTAGTCAAAAAGGATAATTCTAAGAGAACTAGCCAAAAATATTTGAAAAGCTTTGCAGAAAATCTTAATATGTTGTAAAGAATAGGTAGGAAAGATAACAAAACTTGGACAAAGCAATGAAGTACCAACTTGTGGAAACTGGTAAACTGAGGGAATAGTAAGTCTGTTCTAATTCGGCCATCTAGCATCCAAGCAATGAGCTAAAGAGCCCTAAAACTCAGGCAATGAATCTGACTGAACTGTACCAGAATTAGTTCCAGTAAAAGCAGAAAGACTATGATGTGTCTGAAAACACTTTTGCTGGAGACACACTAAGGCCAGCAAAGTCATCTGGTGTTTGTTGGAACTTTGATGGTTGCCTCAGAGAGAAGAAATGGAAACACACATCAGCTATTGCAACCATTCTATTTTGCTCTAGAGCAGACAATTCTTACTGATGTCCAAGTTGAAAAGATGGCAGACAAGACACTCCAATCCTGAAATACTTCTGTAATATTTTCTTGAATGTCTCGTTCAATTTATCTAAGGACACAGTCTTTTTAGCATGATTATCTAGGTGGATGCAGCAGCAGTCTGTTCAGCTTCAAAGAGTAGCTGCCTTATTGCAACATTGAAGGTTTTGCTCCATCCTATTCTACATCTAAATACACAATACTGCTGGGAAATATCTAAACAAAATCATCTGAAATGAGAAGGAAGACAGAACATCTCCGAGTTCAACCATTCTGACATGTAACCTATCCATAGTCTCTACTGTGTGGACTTCTAAGTTCCCCAAACACAAAAGACATCAGTGCAGATGAAAGAAAATCAAAAAGGTAACTATTCATAATGATTGTCTGGATTTTTCCACCAATTATGCAATCTGAGGACAATCCTGGACAGATGTCCAAATAAGCATCAGGTGAACATTTGCATGACAGATGGATAGAAGTCAAGCCAGTAGTCATCTCATCTGCAGTTCGGTTTAAGAGGTTATCACAGTAGATGTTGCCATATGTCCCACAGACAACGAAGGCATTTACTAATGCATGATACTGAACAGCTGTAGACTGAGTTTCTTAAGGTCTAAGTATGGTTCAGGAAGGATGCTCTGAATGTGTAGAGTCTAACAGCCTTCTATATGAATACATAGTGTGAATGCACATATAAACAGTAACCAAGAGACACTTTCAAGTTTGCTTTTGTAAGAGAAAACAGATAGTTCAGAGTAAACAGTTAAAAAGCTGTATAATTATAGGAAGTATCATGACACCGAATGCTGTCTGTACACACTGAAGCTTCCTCTCCCCCCAGTTTAAGTACAGTTTCAAAACATGAAGGATATTCATACCTCTAAAGAAAAGCACTGAAATTGTTTCAGAGTTTGATGTCAGTGACTACATATAGACCATATATCCTCCAGAACCTTTTATTTCTTTTGAACAAAGCTAGTATCTACTCTTTAAAATTACACTCTAAATTAAGTTTAAAGAGCAGTGCAACAGTGACTGCTTCATGTTACAAGCCTGCGATCAGTGAACTGACTGATACATCTGTACAAGATATTAATTCAAATGACATGATTGCTTGACTGCTGATACATGATCATTTACTGATATGACTGGTGATCAGAAAGTTGTTTGGATTCAACACAGCAAGCACTTAAAAATCACAGAATGGTTTGCGACAAAGGAAGGGGCCTTAAAGATCATCTAATCCCACCCCCCCTGCCCCGGGCAGGGCCCCTTCCCCCAGCCCAGGGGGCTCCCAGCCCCGTCCAACCTGGCCTGGAACCCTTCCAGGGACGGGGCAGCCACCGCTGCTCTGGGCACCCTGGGCCAGCACCTCACCACCCTCATCATCCAGTGTCTCACCACCCCCCATAGGAAAGATTTTCTTCCTTACAATCTACCCTCTTTCAGATTAAAACTGTTATTATTCCTACACCCCTTGATAAAGATTATTCCTTGTCTTATTCCTACACCCCCTGATAAAGAGTGTGTCCCCCTCCTTTCCTGTACCCCCTTTAAGTACTGGACTGCTCCCCACCCCCTGGTCCCTCCACCAGCATGATCTAAAGTAGAACAGAGTCCTGAGATACGTCCCTCACCAAGGGAAAAGGAACCTGCAGAGTGGTGTGGAACAGCCAAAACTCACAGAGAGGAAACCAATTTTCAAGAATCACATGACAGTAGCATAACTTCAGTTGCAAGGGACCTCTGTGAATCATCTAGTTTAATGGTCTGGCTAACATCTGAGTTAGGTCAGCCTGTTCAGGGTCCTTTCCAGTTCCATTCTGAATCTCTGAAATGATGGAGATTGCACAGCCCCTCTGGCACCTGGTTCCTGAGCTTAATCGCCCTCAGCAGTAATCTGATTTTCTTTTATATCCAGTCAGACTTTTCTCTGTGGCAACCTGTGTCCATTTCCCTTGTCCTTTCACTGTACACTTCTGAGAAGAGGCTATCTCTGCCTTTTCTAGCATGTCTGGCATTTGAACTTCACAACCTGCCAGTCCCCTTCCCCACCTCTGCAAATCAGAGAACAAACTTGCTTCAGTCAGTGGACGAGAGAGCCAACAAAGAACTCCTAGTTTTAAATGCTACTCCCAGCAAACTGTAACCTGACAATTCCAGCTCTGTTACTGCATGAGGAAATATGGGAGAAATTCTCAGATATATTCACCTTCATGCTTTATCTATGATGAACAATCATTAGTGGGTTATAAATGCAGTTCTTCTATAGCCTCAACTCTTTGGGGTTGTTTTAAATTATAGAATAGGATACCACAGCTGGAAGTCAAGATAAATTGTGAAATTTTAACCTTTGAGGATTACAGACCACAGAGTTTTTATGTAAGAACACCCTGTCCACCAACAGAACACTCTTTGAACTGAATTCTTTCTTGGGGATTTCTCTAAGTAGAAAACTGTGTAAAGCACCCATGGTTTAACTCCTGATCATGTGACGTAAGGTTTTCTAAACAGCTTTTCCTTGTAATCGCTTCATAATCTCTCAGTCCGGCTCCTTTGTTCTCCTATGCAATACAAACAGCTACCTGTGGGAAATTTAAAGCATGCCCCAACCCTCTTTGGTCTCTCACAATCACAGGTGAGGATGTGAACTCTGTAGGCTCAACGTCAAAACTGGATAAGCAATTTCACTTTTTATGAAAAAAAAAAACCCAAAACAAAACACAAAACTAAAAAAACAACCAACCAAACAAACAAAACAAAAAAAAAACCCCACATACTATGCTGTGGATACTGGAAAACTGACACCCTGAAAATACAGGGTCTCCCTTCCCATGCCAGGATTTAGAAATAACTGAAAATAGGATTGAAATACTTGAGTAGGATACTGATCTTCATTTGTGGTAAAACCTGAGCATGTCTAATGTAAGCACAATTTAATTTATTTTTTGTTTTCTTGCTTGTTGCATTTAATGATCATATTTAACAATAAGACAGCAAAAGAACACTACTTGGACATTATAGCCTCTTTGGATAATGTATGTAATCTAAAGTAAAAAAAAAAAAAAAAAAAAGCAAACCAAAAACCAAACCACAAAAAAACCCCATAGAGGCAAGATACTGATTTTTATGTGCAACTCATACACTCAGTTCTAGACAATCGCTTTGCAATAAATGTGCTAAGGGTCTGTTTATTCTACCTCTATGAGGTAGTCATAATATCCTTGTCTTCATTAATGCTAGAGGAATATAAACTCTCCTGTTCTAGTGCACAGAATGCATTACTTAATGCTTAGGGCATCTTCTACCTCCATGTCCAGAGGAACAGGGTACATCTGCCACAGTACTTGCCTAAAATCACAGATAAACCAAATATGAGATGAGATTGTAATAATTTATTACAATCTGGAAAGAGGCCACCTATCTTTCTGCTTCGTGATGACCTCAAAAATTCTTTTTACTCAAAATTAATCTGGCCATTTGGAGGAAGGAACACAGCAGGTAAAAAAGCCTTTGCTGGTGGCAAAGGTATCTACCCTAAACAAAGGCCTGTGAATCTTCTAGTAAAACTGCTTCTCTATTAAAGAGTCAGCACAAAAATGACAAACAGGGATAGATAAAACAGGTGATATCTACCCTGAAATGACTCGTAAGGCAACCCGTGTCATAACAGCATAGGCAGTCTCTTACCTGAGCTGGTGAGCACACTCAGGGGACTGCTGGAGGAAGTGAGTGCAGCAGTACCACTCGGTGTATTCTGAGCTGCACTGGCTGCAGCTGCTAATGCAGCCAGGTTCTGTAATTGCATCGCGTTCAGTCCTGCAACACATTGAAGAATGCACAGAGTTTCTCCTGTAACAGTCACCATCATCCGAGCTTAACAGATACAGCAACCTCAGCACATCACCAGGGAATAATGAGAAAGAGCTTAAAAACAACATGCTTAATACCAGTTACTGGTCTTGTCTACATTGCGATTCCTTGCTGTAACTAAAAATGTTTGTCTTTGCCCATATAGATGAGTTTGGGTAAAAGACCAAGTAGTCATGATCCCAGATGCAGACTCCAGAGTGCAGATACTTTCAAGCAGCGTTCTCTCCAGTCACAAAAGCACAGCAGCTTTAACAGAGAGTTAAGCCAGGGTCTGGCAGCTCATTTGCAAGCTAAACTTGTCTAGACACCAGGCCAATAACCTCCTCTTCTCTCATGTCCCTCTGCTCTCTTTGTAGGGAAACAGCAGTAACTGCAGAATTCTTTCAAGAAGACCTACACACTGCAGTGGCCACAAAGTCCCACCTCTAACCCACCATCAGGTGAATATCATTTTGTTTGATCCCCCTGGCAGCCAAGAAGCAACAGTCAGTTGTGAGACAATGTTGAGTGGCAACTCCTGACCTCAAAATCAGCCAGTGCACACGTAGGATAGACAGCCAGTCAAACAAAAGTGGTAAGGAAAATGGGAAACATCAGGCATGTTGTGGGTAAGCAGCTGGGAATACTGCAGTGGGAGGAAGGTATCCCTGTGTTGAACTTTTATTGGTCAATCCACTCATCTGACTCACTTTGATTTTGAGTCATAATATTTGAATGAAACCATTTGGTCAATACTGACACTGTAGTTTTCCCTCTTTTCCTGCCATGGGATTATCATTGATTTTGATCTTCTGAATTCTGTATTTTAGCCATCCTTTGGTAGGCTAGTGCCATTCTTCCAATTCTGCTTCTTCCCTTTTCCCTCATTTCCCTTTTCTGTCTCTACGTTTGCTTATTCTAACAATTCCTCCTCTTTTCATCTGACTTCAGACAATCCCTAGTAATTCTTCCCTATGAAATCAAAACAAAAATTAAATTAATCACCATTCATATACCAATATCAAAATGTCCTAGGCAGATGTGGCACTTCATCTTTTGGATGCTTAGTAAGTACTTAGTGACAAAGCACACATCTCAAATAATTAAAATCACAGTTTGGTAATTTAAGTATGTAAACAGACAACGTAAGAATGTAAATGACAATGCAACATAAACGATTTAATTTCTAAAAAACTTCTACCTTTATCATAGTTCATTTGGGTTTATCTTTTTCAATTGTTTTCTCTTTGTAACAGCGTCTGTTTCCCTAACCACATTTAGTGCCTGAAACAAGAGAATTCTGCCTTTATTGAGATTCTCAAGGTGCCATTGTAACACAAAAGCATGAAGTTAAATCCAAAAAGTTCAATTTTTTTGTTTTTATTGTGCTACAGAGGGTTAAAATGCCAAGTCTTAGAGCCTTAGTGAAGAACAGAGCAGCTTGCTTCCTTTCTGAAGCAGTTTGGCATGGGCACACTGCACCTGTCCTCTCCTCATCACATTGTTTTCCCATCTGTTTTCAAACAGGGTCAAGATTAAATTTTGTCTACAAAGTCTGACAAAGTTTGGAATCTAATTACCTATCTAATTTTTCTTTCTATGAATTTCAAGAAAGGAGATCAGCTGAGATATTAACAGGACTTTGAAACTAAAACTCTGAAGAATCACAGACTTGAAATAATTCTTTCAAAACACCATGTAACACACTATTTATACATCTGAGTTCTCAATTTTTAAGCTTTTTGTTTGTTTGTTTGTTTTTGTTTTAAATAGCGAAGACAAAATTACCCTGGAAACTTCACAGGCAACTTCTGCTAGTTTGCTCCTTCCCCAGTCCTTACTGTAGTAACAATTGACATGAACTGCTGTACTGTTTTTCTCATTTACTACCACGTGCTTTTAAACAGACATGAAAGGGGGAAAAAAAACCCATTATCATACTCATAACAAAACCTATTACAGATCACCACCACACAAAATATTAGTGAAACTGTTTTTTTAAAAATTCCTTTTAGCAAGAGTCTTAGATCTAAGAGCTCTGAAGAGGTCTAACAAGAAAAAAGTAAACATAAGAAGCTAAGGTTAGAATCAACCTCAAGTATAAATCAAAGTTCTTATAATCAAGAACATAACACTCTGCAAAAGCTTCTAATTGTTACCAGTGGGTGTACCAACACAAGTTAGATGTACAAAGACACTTTACTTTCTTAACACTTTTAGATCAACCTCTGCACAGACAAGGCATGTGATATTGTGAACTACCATACAACTCCAGAAGGCAATTTTAAAAACTTAAAACGTTCACTGTTAAAACTGTAGTTTTGCTGCCAGAAGAATAATTTAGAGGATATGGTGAATGGAGTTACTAACATGTGTTTTGTTATTCTCCACCCTGTGAATACAGAAAGGACAATCCATCAGCAGCATCCAGTACTGCTATACTTGGTGAGTATTCTGACTAGCAGTCCACAAAAAGGAATTTAGCTCATAACTATTAAGCTGATATTTCCCTAACAACAATGGTGTAACCAATTGTAATTCAAACAAAAGAATTAATGAGCCTGAATGAATGAATAGTTCGCACTCCCACCCACATTGCATTTTCAACTCTGATGTATTTATGAATTTAAAACTGGAAACCTAAGAATCCATTATCACTGAAACGCACCCATTAGTGCTTACTTCAAAGCACAATGCTTCAGATATGCATGGGTCTGGATGAAAACAAATATATAGAGCCATCTTGCTGTACTCATAAGGGAAGATAATTTTAATTGCCAGAGGTAGGGGAGATTACCAACATACCACAACTTACCTTGGGGACAATGGTTAACTAAGATTAAGAAGGACCATCCACACTTGTAGCATAGGATTCCTGTCATTCCAAAGGAGTGGGTAAACTCAGGACTACTTATTTCAAAGGAGGCTAACGTGTCTACAGGCTTTTGGCTACTTTCTCTACCCTCCTATTCTTTTCTTTGGCACTGAAATTGTCTTCTGGTGGAAAAAACTCACCTCCCATTGGGTGGAGGCTGCTCAATGTGTTCAGGTTCCCAGATGACGCAGCTGCTGTCTGCTGAAGGAGCTGCAAATAAAGCTAGACATTACACCAAAAAACAAAACAAGAGTGAGAGTGAGGGCTGGCTCCGCTTCTGGGAGAAACTGCACCACACCACAGCCAGAGCGCCGTCACAAAGAGAACTCCCACTGCCCATGCACCACATCGTAGCAAAGCGTAAGAGAATTCCCCTTCCACAATACAGCCAGAGCACTGCCATAGTGAAAATCCACGTTGCCCATGCATCACATCACAGCCAAAGCAACAGCACAATGCGTTCCTCACTCAACATGATCGGTGTTGAGGGAAGTTTATAGCTAATACACCAAGACAAAACCAGTACGATCAGTAGTGAGAGAAAACTCCTATTCAAGGCACCTCAGGCAAGATTGTCACCCCTAAGGATATACAACCTCAAGCCAGATTTTACAGCTGACACTGCCAGCACAGGACAAGTGGCAAATGCCATACCAAAACCAAAGAGCCACTGTAAGAGGGAACCCCCTCCACTTTCCTAAGCACAGCAGCCATGATAGAAATACCAAGCTTCATCTCAAAAGCTATTCAGAGGGATTTCCTATTCCTTTTCTCCATTAACTAGGTGCTGTTATTAAAAATTCCAATCTGCCAAACCTAAAGCAGTAGTAAAAGAGAAAGTGCGCCCACTTCAACAGTACGCCATACCAAGAATGAGACGAATTTTTCTTTTTCTGTTCCCTAGGCCTTATATTACATGAATACAGTTCTTACAGCTATTCTGGCAACCCACACGAGCCAGAGCACATCAGCTTATGAGAAATTCACCCTTTAGGGACCCGGAAAAATAAACTAAAAATCAGTGACAAACAGCAGACTACCTTCTGTTCTGTCATTCTATCATTTTTGCTAAAGAGAGTAGTTTATTTTCTGTGGGGTTTTTTGTTTTGTTTTCTTTTTTCTTTTTACTGTGACAGCTGCTTGGCACTTCCAACCTGATCACCTTCTCTACTGAATAGCACCAAGCACTGTTCTAGGTTTCACTGGAAGCAAATGAAAGAAATGAAGGCTGAAAAAGGAAAAATGGAAGAGGAATACAAGAACTATATCATCAGATTGACATGAAAAGGGCATTTATATGGGTAAAAATGAAGGCTATCACATTTAGAAAGTCTTCCCAGCACAAAGTCATTTTACAGAAGACAGAAAAAAAAGTTTCAGTAGTTAGGGCTACAGTGACTGGAGCTGAAATCCTCACTTAAGTGTATCCTGACTAGTTTTTAGCACATAAATTAATTTCAGCTTGCTCATCCACAAAATGGAGATTAAGAGCCCCACTCCTATTTATCAGGAGCCTTCTAAAAATGAACACTACAAGACAGCCAGACACTGTAATCCCTGGAGAGATGAAAGGAACCCAAGTCAGAAACTCACTGCTAAGTATTGGGGTCCAAGCGTGTTGAGACCAGCCAGGTTTCCCCATACTGAGGCAGCACTGATCTGTTGCATTTGTTGCTGGAGTTGCTGAGCAATTCGTTTCTGCTCTTTGTCCTTCTGCGTGTCTGCAAATTTTACCACAATGGGAGAAGAGCAACCCTGCAAACAGCAATTCAAACCATTACATACTTGCTATCCCCAGCAGTGACAAAAATACTGCATTAAGACCCAGTCATTGGAAGCATTCCCCTACCCCCACATGCATACATACATATATATACATTTCATTAAAGGTTCTAAATCTCATTTGCTTTTAATTCTATTTTGTACTATGGTTTCTATCTAGATGAAGTTTATCTCAAGCTCTAAAAATAGGAGCAGAACGAACACAAAGGTCCAGCAGTAATATTTGTGAAGAAACACACACTGCAGTTATCCTTCTCTCTCCTCTCTAGTCCTCCAAACTCCATAGTGACTGCCTGACAAATTACATCATCTTCTGACACCCATTAACTTGTTTTACCTCCATGGTTTGTGCTTGGTGCATTGCTTTGATTGCTGTTTGTGCCATGGCTCTTGTTGTAAAAGTCACAAATGCACAACCTGGGGAAAGAACAAAAAGGAACCAAGTCATTCACTACATCTGCAATTACAGGGATGAAGAAAGAAATGAAAATGCCTACAGCGGGGAGGTGACATCATAGAAAGAGAGGAACTGTCACCTTGAGTTGCAAGACAGCATCCAGTGGAGACCATTCAACTGCTGAAAAAGCTTCCTGCTTACCTCGGCTCAGGCCATCTGGGCCCCGCAATATCCTGCATTCTTCAATCTGCCCAAAGGGGGAGAACATCACCCGGATATCATTTTCATTGCACTTCTTGGAGATCATTCCAATAAACAGCTTCCTATCTTCTACTGCTAAGAAATCAAAAGATAGGAGTATTACCAGCAAATATGCAGTTACTAGATCTTATTTTGTCAAGTCTTCTCCATCAACTGTAGTTATTTTCCTTGTATTTAGTGTAGGGACTTGTAAGAAACAGCCCTTGTAGAAACATTATTCCCAATAATGGAATCTCTTAAATTTAAGAGGATGCATATGAGATAGCTCAATGAACCTGAAGGATGCCTGTTTTATGATGTTTTATGTTTACATTTTGCTGTTTCTTCTTTGCAAGCCTATGAACTGCAAAAATGTAAGAAAAGGAAAAAATGTATCAGATTCAGCACTTCTGTGTGTCTCCTACATTCAGTTTCTGGTGAGCAAGAGAAGACTTGTATGTATTTTATTGGACTGTTTCATCCTCTCTCCTCTGTTTTTCTATCTTTAGACTACCAACATACCTAACTGTATCTAAACAAGCAAGTGAGCTGCAGAAAGCTTCTTTCTAGCCTCTTTATCATGCCAATCACTTAAATTTAGATTTGCCTGTTTCCTCATGCTCCTGTCTCAACAGTGGAAACAACAGCAGTTGCTGAAACAGAACAGTTTTAGTTCTGTTTCAGATTCATCCATTCTATCTGTACCAAAAGCATGAAAGTAACACCTCAAATTAGAATGGTGGACTGTGCGCTACAGTATCTGGTCCCTAAATGATGATTCTACTAGATACATCAGAGTTGAAAAATACCTTTTGGCATGCAGACTATTTCAAAATAAATGGTCCAGAAAGACATTTCTCTTAACATTTCAGTTAGTGGTTACTAATGCCAATTTAAGGTCACTTAAGGGAGTGGGGTAAATTCGAATCCAGCGCAGATTTTCATACCTTTCATTTTACTTAAGGATACTAATCACCTCTAAAATACTTGCTTTTAAAGAATGACACAAATTATGCAGAATACCATTTGGAAATATAAGATAGTTTGAAAATACAACATTCAGCACAGTGTAAAATACAATATGATGAAGGCTGTAGTACAATTTGAAGCTTCAAGAAAGAAGGTCTTCTCCTATTTAGTGCCATGGTAAGGGGAAATCAACGTAATTGCTGCATCTTCTATGGTGTTGAAGCAGAAAATTCCAAACTATTCCAGGTGACATGACTGACTATTAAGTATTTATTTTATACCCAGTTCATTCCAAGCTCTCAGAGCAGTAACTGCTTTCAAATCCTTTTTGCAGTCCATCTTACATCAAGATATCCAGACTCCCTTTTATTAATGGCAAGTTAAAATACTTTTTTAACTGATGCTTCATTTACTTTCATGTCTACCTTTTACTAAAACTCATAACAGCCTCAGAACTGTCATTCTAAAATTCCACTGAATACATTTTTCCTCTTTCCATTATTTTCCTAGGATATTAGCGTGCGTGTCTATAAAGCAATATCAGTTTTAATTTAGATAACCTATTTGGTTTTCCTCCCAACAATACTTCCAAAGAATTACTCCTTTCTATATATATTTACACAGAAACATATTCTCTAAACACATACAGGAATTTGGAAATGGAATTACTCCTACTATATGTTACCAATATACCCCATCTTCTGTTTTCAATTATCTTAAAATGTAAGTTTCTGGAACTAGCACTATCTTCTACATGATGCAGTCCTAATCTCATAGTAACCACTGCAAATGAAGAAAATAAAATTCAGTCAAGCCTAGAAAGGCTGAAACTACAAAATGATGAACATTTTCTTTGCTTATCTTGCAGCAATACACAGAGACACACATTTGAGCATGTATGCACGTACATACATAAACTAATAATGAAAATACATAGATAAGTGACTGTTTACCCAATGGTAGATGCTAAATGTCTTAATCCATCTGAAATGACCAACATGCAGAAATATTCAGTTTTTTCTCTGTTGAACTGTTGTGAAATCTCAATCTCCCTAACAGTATAAGTAGTTTTGACTCCCATCCTAGCTGCAACAGACCTTGGTTCAAATTGGTCAATTACATGTAAAAGCATTTCTAGATTTCATAGAAACATGGATTAGTTTGGGTTGGAAGGGACCTTAAAGATCATCCAGTCCCACCCCCCTGCCCCGGGCAGGGCCCCCTTCCCCCAGCCCAGGGTGCTCCCAGCCCCGTCCAACCTGGCCTTGAACCCTTCCAGGGAGGGGGCAGCCACAGCTGCTCTGGGCACCCTGGGCCAGCGCCTCACCCCCCCCACAGGGAACAATTTCTGCCTTAGATCTAATTTAAATCTCCCCTCTTTCAGTTTAGAGCCATTACCCTTTGTCCTATCCCCACACCCCCTGATCCAGAGTCCCCCCCACACACCTTCCCTGTCCCCCCTTTAAGCCCTGGGAGGCTGCTCGAAGGGCTCCCCGGAGCCTTCTCTTCTCCAGGCTGAACCCCCCCAACTCTCTCAGCCCGGCCCCCCAGGGGAGCTGCTCCAGCCCCCCCAGCATCTCCGTGGCCTCCTCTGGCCCCGCTCGAGCAGCTCCGTGTCCTTCTGCTGTTGGGGGCCCCCGAGCTGGCCCCAGCACTGCAGGGGGGTCTCCCCAGAGCGGAGCAGAGGGGGAGAATCCCCTCCCTGGCCCTGCTGCCCCCCCTGCTCTGGCTGCAGCCCAGGACACGGGTGGGTTCTGGGCTGTGAGCACACGGTGCTGGCTCACAGGCAGTTTTCCATCCACCAACACCCCCAAATCTTTCCCTGCAGGGCTGCCCTGAATCCACTCCTCGCCCAGCCTGGATCTGTGCTTGGGATCTCCCCGACCCACGGGCAGGACCTTGCACTTGGCCTTGTTGAGCTTCAAGAGGTTTGAGTGAACCCAGCTCTCCAGCCTGTCAAGGTCCCTCTGGTCTGTCTATGATACCAACCATAGCACTCAGCTTGGTGTCATCGTCAAACTTGCTGAGGGTGCACTCAATCCCACTGTCCACATCCCCGACAAAGATTTAAACCACCTTAGTACAAAGAAGAACTCACTGGATGTTTCCCTAACGGACAACATGGTTCTACCACAAGCAGCAGCAGTGGGAGATACTGAGCCATGGAATTTTAGAGACATCACTTACGCTACCTACTATATTGAAAACACTTTTTTTTTTCTACTTTCAAATAAAATCAGGACTCCAACTCAAGAAGACTTCATCAGAAGCTGTTCAAGAAGAGGAAAATTCTCAAGCTTCCCTATTTGCATGAATGATGCCACCAAACTTAGACTTTAATAAAGCTTACCATTACTCTTTTCGCTATCAGCTGGTTTCATCTGGATAGGATGGTGCATCTGAAATGTAAAAAGATTATTTAATCCTAGATGCATTCATTTTATACTGTATGAAATGCATCCCAGAATAATTGTGGAAAAAGGAAATAGTAGCCTAAATCCCCTCTACAGAAGTGCATATGTAATGTTACATAAATATCTAGAACAAAGAAAAGCTTTCTTAGTGATATGCCATTATTCCTCCTCACAGAGTATTATAGGAGCCATGCCCACCCACTTCACCACCATATTATTCTCCCAAATGTTCCGAAACTCCCTTAAGATCCATTATCATACAAATCTCACAACACTGCTCTTTTAAAACATTATCTGAGGGCAAGATAACATATGTTTGTATATCAGTGGTGCCAGAGGTCAGAAAGCCAAGATAGAGTTGTGAAGAAAGCATGGCTCTTCTCTTACCCCTGGGAGGATCTTCATGTTGTGAAGAGCATTCTGTGCTTCTAGTGCAGCTTTACGGGTATAAAATGTAACAAAACAGCACCCTGCAATTGAAACAAAATGCTAGCCAAAGAAGAACACTGTGAATCTTGACATGCCATACAGACACTGTGCAAGTCCCACTTCTATCCTTCCAATGCAAGTTATAGGACAAGTAGAAGAGGTTAGACATTGAAATAGGTGACTGTTTAAAAAAGATTTCCAAGTGTAATAAAATAGGATATATTCAGAACTGACCCAACATCACCAATACACCATTAAAACATTTAGATACATCTGTCAAATAATTGTTGGCTACTTCCATTATCAAACTCAACAATTATTCGCTAGTACCAAAAACTTAGCTAGTTTTGCAAGAAATAAGATACTGCATATAACTGAAATGTAAACCCAAGTATAGCATTTAGTTAGGATTTGATGTATACAAGTATTTGATGTACTCAAATGACTAAGACCTCAAATTTATATTTTATCTGAAAGTGTGACACTTCCAGCAACATTTTGATCATATCATAGCACTACAGCAATGATCTGGAGCAACATAATATTATGTTTTGCAATTGTATTCCATAATCTTCAAGAACCTCCATCACTTCTGAGCTCTAAAAAAAATTATGATTTCCTTCAGCTCAGCTAACGACTGGATCACAGTCCAAGTATAATTAAACACATGCTTAAAGACTATAAAGCCTGGGTTTGCATGCACACCTGGTCATACAGAGCTCCAACACACAGGAGTGTCTGAATAAGCAAACAGCTAAACTCTGTGAAAGTGGCTGAGACCCAAAGTCTCACACAAGAAGTACAAGAGTTCTCACCTTTGCTTTGAGGTGGGTTTTGGCTCCTGTCCCTCAAGACATTGATTTCATAGACAGCACCATACTGTTCAAAAAGTTCTCTTAGATCCTTCTCACACCAGCTCCGTGGGACCTGACCCACAAACATCTTGATAGCATCTAGATCAGGTTGGTCTGGGTGATCCAGTGTGCCATTCATTTTCTTTGAGCTATGAAAAACAAGAAGGAATTTCTGGTTTATATATTTTCACAGATTCTAGATGCTATTGCAGCTAGAAGAAGCATGCTTACAGTGAGATTAAAAAAAGAAATATATGTTTCTACACATATATAAATGTATGACTAAAATATACATATAAAGAGAGACTCTTGCACATTCCCAGTCCTGCATACCACAGAATGTTCAGAAACATCATTCACATTCATTGGCAAGCTGTGTACTTGGAAACCAAACACTCTCTACACAGCTGTTTAAAACTTCTCTTGATGTTTGTTCCTATAATGTAGTGAAAATCTGAGATTCAGGACATAAATCTGTTGAGATGACTGAAAAATATCACTAGTTTAACTGTGTAAAATTTTACAGAAAAAGAAACCGGAACAGAAAAGAACCTAAACTCAGTCTACCCACTGAAGTTATCAGTAACCACTGAAAATGAGAGGATAACATTTTTTTCATTGTTTTTAAATGTGACTATCTGGAAATGTTTCCCAGGGTGAGGATCCATCTTAAAACGGAGAAACAGGTACAACTGAACAGAGGAGAAGTTTCATTAAAGGCTTACAAGGCAATAGCTCTCTGTGTAACTAGAGAGCATTCAACAATGTTTGTCAAAAAAACAGGCTTAAGCTGTACAAGAACAGGTTGGGATCGGACAATCTAGTTAGTCAGTGTCTGAATCAAGTTGAGTAATGGTAGGGTGTTAGAGTCACTTTTTAGACTACAACAACACAGAAGTTTTGGGTATGGGAATCTTGAATAGTTTCCAAGGCATTACCTCTAGCCACATGAACAGTTTACAGCCTATTAATAAAACCGTGTTACACTCCACGCAGCTAGTTAACCGTCATACACTGCTTTCTGTATCGACTCTTCATTGCTTGTCAAGTGCAATGTGAAGTCTCATTATCAGTAGTCACAACCTGGTATACTACAAGACCTAGCTCTGTGGAAGACTGACTGTAACGACATCCTATTGTAGTTATAGTGATTAGTAGGTTAAAACTGTTGACCAACCCCTGCATAATCTAGAAAGGACATGGGGGGCAGAACAGTAACCATACAATGATTCTCCCCACCCCCAAACTCTTTGTTGAAGAATACAGGTGGCCTTCTTCCAGAGTAGTCAGCTCTCTTCGTCTCTGCTCTTTTCCTTTAAAGATAGTTTGTGAATGATTTAACTGCACATTACAGTAGTGTTCCTCTCTCTGTCCATCTGCAATCATATTCCCCCCTAAGTAAAATTTAAAACAAACAAACAAAAAATTCTAAACCACGTAGTGCTTAGTTAATTTTTCCCCTCATTATGCTGCTGTTCAGAGCCTAGGGAAAAACTGATGCCAAGGAAAGCTCATAATTGATAGCTGTATGAAGAGACCTCAGAAAGAGCAAAGCTTCTTACTCAAAGTGAAGGGAATCATAAATCCTTTCACTCCTCACTACCTTTCCACTCAGAAAGGGTCAACACCTCATCAAATAGCTAAGGCAAACAATACCTCTTACAAATAGGTAGACTACCTTTTTTCATTCATTGTCTTTTAATTCCAATTGAGAACAACTGAAAATCATTTATTATCTTCCAATAATAATTTTCAGCCCTGTCTTCTATGCCATGGGTAGCTTCGAGACTGTAGAAGGGCTCCGGTTAACTGGGCAACTCTTAACGTGACCTCAACAGTATTCAAGGGATCTTCCATTCCTAATTAAAAGGTTTGCTCTGAAGTCATTAATTGGGAAGAACAGAAACTGTTCTCCCAACAACTGATTTAACTAACCGGTCCTATATCAGCACCTGTAACATACTACGAACAGTACTGCCAAATAGCTTTATTCCTCCTTAGCCCGCATCCCTAAAATCATCAGATCGTTCTTGCCCCCCATCTAGAATCCAACATCAATTATCAATGCCCACTATGATTTCTTCAAGAAAACTGCAGACCCTCCTATCTTTCTTTTCCCCACCCCCTTAAGAAGAGTTCATCAGACATCAGAGGCTTCAGAGACAGCAATTCCAACTATCACTTAGACAAGAAGACAAAATACTTACACAGGGCTAGCATTCAAGGAGCAGTGGTCCACCATCATCTCTGGGAGGAAATCCAACTTGAACGCAGCCATCACCTCAGTTTGTGACAAACTACTGACACTAAATCAGTGTATTGCCTAACCCCCCAAACAACACCACTTCCAAAAGTCCTGCAGGTCTTAACACTCAGCCACACAAAAAAACACTCAAACCACAGAAACAGAAGCGCAGGGAGACGAGCAATAGACACCACAGAAACAGGCTGGACTGGGAAAGGGACATGGAATCCCAGATTAAAAAGGGGATGTGACCATGTGAAGGGAGGCTCAGCTTAATACACAATGAAAATGCTGATGCACTGGGCTTGTTTTGTGCAATTTTCCCTGGCGAAGCAGTACTGAGTGCACTGTCAGATAAACAGAGTGTCAGATCCATGAAGATAGCAACGGGTAACAGAGCAGAAAGAATACAAACTCCAGTCTTTCCATCCCCAACTAACTCCTTGCCTCCCAAAATGGCAGTCCAAGGCCTTGAGGTTCAGACAGACACTTCCCCTATCACCAATATTAAGGTGTGAAGTCAAGAGGTTCCTTCAGCATAAACATTTTCAATGGCCGATCTCACTTTTTCACCTTGTGCACTATTTTTGTCACTCTCCTACCTTGTAGGAAGAAAACTGCCAACTAAAATGTTTTTCTGAACCTGCCAAAAAATCACAGCTAAGAGAATTTGATCAATCAAAAATTCCTTAACTAGCACAGAACATCAAAACATACTCCTTTCATAGTGGCAAAATGTAAGTTTTTCTGGAAACAATACTTTGCCCATCCTACATCTGTAAATCCAGGGATATACAGAACCTACAGATGATAAAGAAAGGGAAAACCAGTGATTTGCTGAAAACTGTTTTATAATCCTTGAAAACACTGATCAGAACACCGCAGTTGTTTCATCATTAAAACAGGAATAACATGTTGATCAAGGAACTGTGAGGTGTATTTATACACATAGTACAGATCTCTTGTTAAATCTTCAATATCCAAACTAACGGGGAGATAACCTGTGTAATACTGGATGCACTGGGAGATGCAGAAGTATTTGATTGCAGAGAGTGAATGCTGCAGAGGCAACTGGGTGTGTCTGAGCACTCCAGGAGAGATGATTAATTCAAGTCCAACATGAATCCAGATAAGCCTTACATATACGGTTGATATAAGCACAAAATAAACTTAGAGCATCAAGGAATACATGCTGGGGCAGCTGCAATCACTTCTTTCTTGTCTGTCAATGACTGCAACATGTACTTGCAGTTATTTAGACTGGCTAGTATGTACAGCTTTCTTTATGCTTGCACAGTTAGAGCATGTCTATTATTTTTCCATAAATAACAATTTCCAACCAGGGGAGAGGAGGGCAGGGGGGAGGGAAAGAACACTTCTGATCATCTGCCTACAATGAGGTTAATTAAAAGGTTATTAAAAGGAGTGAGGCCTCATAATACAAAGAGATATGCATGTCACCGATAAATAAGAGAGGACGTGAATTCAGCACACGTCAGATATTCAACAGTAACTACTTCATGCGTGCTTTTACTATGTGGTAAATGCAAGAAAGCTTATTCTTTAATGAAAAAGGGGTAAGCTACCAGAAGCACCACTGTTAAGAGCATGAAAATAGGCACTAGGGAGCACAGGTCAATTTATTAACTTTCAGTAAATTGTTCATATCTACCTTCAGACACATCTTACAGGCTTCCCACTTGAAAAATGTCATGTTGTGCAAAATATATCATATTCAAATGTTAAATTGAGCCTGGAGCCCATGTGGATTCCTCTAAAATGAGCCCACATAAACACTTCAGATTTATATGATTATACGGTGGCGTTCTTGACACTGTTCACAAACCTATAGACCAACACCGTAAATTCCGGTCTTACCTATGAAAACCAGAACTCATTCCTTCTGGTCTTTCAGGCATCTTTAGCTTTTTTTAAGCAGCCAGTAAAATACCCCAGCAGCCATGCTCACTGTAAGTTCGATGGAAAATGATGCTGGCAACAGACACTCTAGAAAATGGGTTTTAAAAAGGTTACTGAGATTGATTAGTTTACTGAAGAAAGCAATTAAGTCATTATGATTTGATGCTACGCCCACCCTTTCCCTCATCTATCTGTTCTTCAAAATGGAAGTCATATCTGCTTGTTCCATTAAGACAAAACTGCCACAAGTTACAGGCATTGTCACACTGTCATATTCCATGTCAAATTCATGGTTTTGACAATTAAAACATTAGTTTTGTGCAACTATTCTGCTACATACCAATTTAATTCTTGTTATACTTACATTTCTCCTGTGATGAACTTGCATCATTTAATGAATACTAGAATGGTAAATAAATATCTGAAGGTATGTTAGCCAAGACTCAGTGCCTCAGGGTACCGTACTTACGCAGTAACGATGGCAACTGCAGTGACAAAACACTAGTGTGCAAACAGGTTTAACACTGTTTAGTTGAAGGCATCAAGCTAGTGAAATTAGAAGACTTACAGACTTCACCTGTGAAAATATCAGATAGAGTGGAAAAAGATGGTATTTTGCTACTGCATAGAAATAAAAAGAATTAAATGAGGAAGCAGTGTTTCTTTGGAATTATAAAAAACACCAAAGTCATCCTACCAATTGCTCACAAAGAAAGAAAGAAAGGAAAATAAGAGAGCTAAACACACTTATTTTTTGCTCAGATGTCAAATTCCGGCTGGCTTCCAGATCCATTCTTTGACTGTTTCTATTCAAAGGATAATAGAAACAATGTCTGAAATTCCAAGCTCTATGGACTGTAGCTACACATTTAAATGTGGTACTAATCTGACAATACGAACATTAAAAACTTCTACATACTATAGATTCAATCTCATTTTTTTTTAAACATTTCTGAAGCCCTAGATTACGCTGCAGAATATATC